TTCTCAGGGAGACCCTAGGAGCCCCTGGGGGGCACTGTAGAGCTAGAGCCCATGTCCAGCTTCCCAGGTGGGAGCAGATGGAGGCAGAGGGGAAGGGCCTGCCTCTTAGGAGAAACCATGGGAGGAGCAAAGTCCAGGGGCTGGCAGAGGGCGGGAAAGTGGGACATGGCCTTGTCACCCAGCTCCAGGGCCTGCCAGCTCCCAGCCCCAGGAACCTCCTTGCTGGAGAAGGGCAGTGGGAAAAGAGGGCAATGGGCACGAGCCCCGCCATTTCCCAGTAGCCAGCTGGCACCCCAACCCGCTGCAGACCAGGGCGGCTCAGATGGGCCCTTCTGCAAGGGTGGCCTAGGCCCAGTCCGATGGCAGCCCCCAGCACTCAGTGTCCTTGGCACAGCAGCCTGCCTCCCCCACCACAAGGGCCTGTTTGTCCCCACCGCCTTGGCCCTGGAGCACTGGGTGCCCAGGGCCTGCTGGACACGGGGGCCTGGCTGAGGCTCAGCACCCAGCCGTCCGGGCCCAGCCTTGGTTCCACCTCCTCCTACTGTCCTGCCTGGGCTCTCTGCCCGCCTCTGCTTGGCCAGCTCTCCAGGGAGCCTTCTAGCAGGAACCAGGTGGGCAGAGAGGCCTGTTTCCTGCCGGTGCCTACAGCTCTCCAGCCTCATCCCTCCCCAGGGAGCGCATCCCTGTGGGATTCAGTCTGGAACTGTGAAGCCGCCTGAACCACAGGAGGAGCCGGGAAGGGTTGGGTCCTTCTGAGCATCAGCCCATATGTGCCCCCCCCCCCAGCAGTGACAGGAACTCACTTTGGGGACACACCACTCCCGGCACTTGGGTGTAGGCAGGTGGGCTCGGCTGTTGCCCCGGGGAGCTTAGAGCCCAAGGAGGCCCGGGCGGGGAACCGGTCCCAGACTAGAATTCTTCACCACTTCCTCCCTGGAATCCTCAGCTACCATTCTCCCTTAGGCCCCGGCCTGTTTTGCATATTTCTTCTTTAGCATTCTCACCTTTAAGCAAATATTTCACATTTTTTGTTTTGTTTTTGTTTTTGAAACAACATTGCACTATGTAGCACAAATTGGTTTTGGACTCACTATGTAGCCCAGGCTGGCCTCAAACTCCAGAGATCCTCCTGCCTCAGCCTCCAGGTGCTGGGATTATAGGCACACCCAGTTTCAGGGGTGGTTTTATCTGTTTTGTTTCTTGGTGTGTCACCAGCTCTGCATCGGTGCCTGGCTCCTGGTGGGCACTCAGTAAACTCGTGCTGGCTGCCGCATACACGCTCACATTGCGTCATGGGGCCCCTTGCAGTCTGTGGATGGTGCTGGCTGAAAGTCGGTCACCACACTCATCTGAAAAGCTGATGTTGTTCAGAAGCCTCCCTGGCACTTTGACATTGCTGTGGTGTTTCAGTGCCACTCTGTAGAAGGATCCCCCAGCTCCAAATTGACGTGAGAACCGCACTTCCTCCCTGGAGCCCTAGCTCCTTGGGTGCCAGGCATGCCCCCCAGAGCTTCCTGTTCAGTGTCTCCTCCCCCCCATGCTGCCTGCCCATGAAGGACCCAGGTGTCACCTGGATCCGCCTCCCTTCACAGCTGAAGCTCAAACCTTTCTTTGGTGGCTAGGCTCCTTGGGGAGGGGGGTGAAGCCCAGGGTGGGGGAGAGAGCGCCTTGCCCTTGATCTTGTTGGGCTCCAGGCCAGCAGAGGGAGTAGCTGGGGCAGGGCCCAGATTCTGGATCCTAGCCTCTTGGCAGCCACATGACTTAGTGGGCTGGTGACAGGGGCCGTCGGGCAGGCAGCCAGAGCAGGAGAGCCCTGCAGTGGGTGAATCAGCCGCCCGCAGAGGGACCACTCTACCCGGAGCAGGGCTAGGTCTCTGTTCAGCGTCCAAGGCTCCCTTCGCCTGTCCTGGCAACTGTAGTCAACTCCTCCCCCCCTGCAGGTGCATCCTGTGGTTCGCCGTGTCCAGGGCACCCTGCTCTCCCCAGCCTGGGAGAGGGCCACCCTAGTGTGGTGTGCAGCTGTCCACAGACCCTCCGAGGTCTCCCCACCCCGTCACTGTCCTATAACCGGGAGCCCAGAGATACTTACCGTGCTTGTTGGGGACAGAATCCCCCCACATAGAGGACAAGTGAGGGTGTGCATGTGTGGTTTAAGCACCCAGTTGGGGGGCATGAGGTGAGGGAAAATGGACCGCAGTATCCCAACGCACCCCAGTGACAGGAACCTGGCACAGCCATGTCCACCTGTGGGGATCCGTAACTCAGAGCATCACAGAGGACAGCAAGTAGCCCCAGGCAAGCCTGGGGTCCCAGGCAAACAGCTGGCTCTCTGGTCTGCATGATCTCAGCTTTACAATGGAGATAGAGCATGGCTTCCTCTGTCTGCTGGACCGGAAAGTGCTTTGTCCTCGCTGAAGGCTGCAGGAGCTGTCGGCCTTCTCCAAGGCTCCAAACCACGGCAGGCATTTACCTCTGTGCTGCAAGGCACAGATGCCTGCAGTGCCCTGCTGCACCCAGACCCGGACTTGAGCCCCTTCCCTGCTTCCTGTGGCCCCAGCACCCCTCTAACTAGCACTGCCTGCCTGAGCACACACGTGTATGGGGTGACTTCATGGTGTGGGCCGCAGTTCCCAGAAACTAGGGGAGGGGAGCTAGGCGGTCCCCCCACTGGCAGGACCCAAGTCAGGTCAGCAGGCAGCAGGAAAGAGGAGCAAAAGCCAGGCAGAGGCCTCTCCGGTCCACTTCCGGGACAGGATGCTGCACGGAGTAAACAGTTTCCAGAGGAGTCACCACTGGCTCTGAGTCACTGCTCCTAGTGACAACCGTGCAGTGTTTACAAACAATAGGCTCAGCCGCGCCTGCCCCCCATCAAAGGCTGCACAGATGCCCCAGAGGCAGCAGCCTCCCCCGAAGAAAAGGCTCACACCAGGGCAAGCTGTGCTGGAGGTCGGGCAGGTGCATTATCCCTGGCCACCTGGCATGTGAGTGGGATTGGTGACCCAGGTGTCCTGGGAGATGCGGTGGGTGGGTAGGAGTTGTTCTGAGCCTCACATGCCACCATGTGTTGTCTTGGGTCCCCCCAGGAGACCTGGCAAGGGCTGTGGCCTGTGTGGGTTTTGAGGGGTGCAGGTAGAATGCCCCCACACTCGCTGTCCTGCTGCCAGCCCAGCCCTGCCCACTGCCATCCGCCCTCGTTCCAAGCCGTGACAGTGATGTAGAGCATCATGTGGCCATGTGGCCGCACCAGGCAGGCAGGGAACAAAGGCCTGTGCTCTGGTCCCGGCGGGAGGGAGGGACCTGCGGTGGGAGGAGGGGCAGGATGCCCCCGCTGGCTCCTCCCCTCTAGGCCCCACCTCCGGGGCTGCCGCATTGCTCAGCGGCAGCTGTTCCTCCTCCTGAGACCGGGCAGTGACTCCTTAGTCTGCTGCCAGGGGACTGCCCTGCCCTGTGCCCCGGGACTGGGCCCTGAGGCCAGGCTGGGACCAGGTGGGGAAATTCAGTGGTAACAGGCCCAGAAGCTGGTTTTGAAGCCTGCGTGGAGATGCAGCGCCCCATCAGGGCCCGAAAGTGCTCCAAGAGCTTGTCCTTCAGAGGCGCTAACAGCAGCACCCTCTGGGTCCCTGCCCCCCTGCTGCTGCTTGGCGATGAGCACCTCCCACTTTGGGTCTCTTTATACCCGAGGCAGGCTGGCACCGTAGGAAACCACTGTGCACATGCCTGCCAACCCCGCCACAGGGCTGGTCCAGGGGCACCTCCCCTCCCCACTGGGAGAGCACATTGGTAACCCGCAGGGCAACAGAGCTGCACGGGCCATACCCAATGTCACCCAGCAGGAAGTGGGTGAGGCTGAGGTGGGGCCCAGGGGTACCGGGCCTTGAGGTGAGCCCTGTTGGAAGCTCTGCCTTGGGAAGAAGTGGACTGAGTCTGGGTGTGGTCACCAGGCCTCCTAGAGCTGCCCCAGGGTCGGGCTTGCCCTGTGGTATCCCTCCTGTTGTGTGCTTTTACAACAACACATCTCCCAGGGACCTGCTGGCATCCAGTTAGGAGGACACAGCCCTGTCATCAGGTGCTCGCTGGCTACTATGGAGCCAGGCTGTAGACCCCTTGGCCTGCAGCAGCGGTCACTGATGGGGACTGCTTGTCTGTGCCAGGCACTAAGACAGGACTCCTCGGTGGCCAGCCATGGGAGGATCCGTGCACATTCGCTGGGCAGTTACTCCGCAAGCCAGGCCCCTGCAAATCTGCAAGTGTCTTGTGCCCCTTTTACAAATGAGGAAACTGAGGTCCAGAAATGCTAAGTTGCCAGCTTGAGGTCCCCAAGTCAGAACCCTGGGCTCAACTGACCCACAGCCGCTCAGCCCTGCTGTTTCTAGAAGTCCACAGTAGCATAAGGTGCAGGATGCCAGCAACGGTGCCTGGCCTCACAGGGGACGCCAGCCTCCAGGCCTAGCAGGAAGTGAGACATGCGTGAGTGAAAAGTGGGTAGGACGGCTGGCAGCGGGAACAGCTGCTGAGGGAGTCCCGGTGTCCAGGCTGCTCCACGAAGCTAGGAAGCGGAGAACACAGGGGAGAGGTCACGGGGCAGGATTCGCAGGAGCCTGAACCAGGCGAGGACTCGGGACAGGAGCCGCTGTAGGGACCCTGCTGCAGGGGAGATGAAGGTGGGGCAGGGAGGCAGGAAAGGGCTGCAGCTCCAGGACCCACCTGGGACGTTTGGTGCCCTCTTTCTGCCACCCGCACAGCATGCCTGCCCAGCCCATCCCCAGAAAACCCCCACCCCAGGATATCCCTGAAATCCTTTCTTCCATGGAAGAAATTCCTGCAGGAGCCCACTGGGTGACAGTGTAAGGTCAGAGCTGGGCACTCAGGAGGCTGAGGCAGGAGGATCACTGCATGTTTGAGGCCAGCCTGGGCTAGATAATGAGTTCAAGGCCCAGCGTTCCAGGAGGCTGGCTAGGAAGGGGAAGGGAGGCAGGTGGGGTTTAGTTTTGAGTTTGAAAGTTACTGCATACACCACCCCCATCCCACGTCAGGAAACTGGGGCTCCAGGAGAAGAGGAACCTGCATGTCCCCAGGGGAGGCGACACCAGGCAGGGACAGGAACCCCTGATCTTGCTCCCAGGCTCAGAGCAGCCTGCTCAGCCAGGCCTTGTGCACCCCACAAAGCCACCGGAAGAGGATGTGAAACGCTTTCGGCAGAGCAGCAAGGTGAGGGTACTGGCAGAACGACATTGGGTGCCATGCAGGCTCTCAGCCACCGCTGCAGGGCCCTCAGGTGGTCTGATGTGCCTCTGGGGAGACTCTGAAGACCCTGCCGAGCAGCCTCTCCTCGCCTCTGTGGTCTCAGGCACCCAGCCAGGCGCCCTCCTCTTGCAGCTGGGGTCCTCACATCCATCTGGCCGGGGTCCCAGGAGGGTAAGGAAGCAGCCCTTCTCTCGGGCCAGCCGCACTGGGCTCTCTGGGCTTTGGGATGGGTCTGTGGGCTCTGCAGACTCAAGGTGTGGGTTCTCACGGTGAGAACCTGGGCAGGTCCTGCCCTCTTCTGGCCTCGGTTTTCCTATGTTAAATGGACACCTGGACTCATCCGGTGCCCTCCAGTGTCAGGCTCGCAGGGCGCTAAGAAAATCAGAGCTGGTGAATTTCTTTCACCATAGCCCTCGTCCGCAGCTGTGTGCCCTTCCTGGCCCTCTTCCTGATGTCTTTTCTGAAATGTTGGCAGGGGTGACCATATTTTTATGACACTACCAGTGACATAAGCAGCTGGCAACCCAGCGCCCACCCCTGGTTAAAAGTGAAATCCCGTGCTGGGTGCCAGGGATGGGGGCGCTCTGAGGTCTAGTGGTCAGGGCTGCCTCCAGGATGAGTAATGAGGCAGGCCTGGCTGCCTCAGCCCACGGCCCCTGCCAGGTCACGCCCAGCGAGCCCTGCCTGGACCCTCACCTGTGCCCTCGCACCTTCCTGCTTCCGTGTGGTGGTTTCTAGGACCCCAGGAGGGAAATGGCAATGGGACCTTGGGGCAGCAGTGGAGAGGGCCGGCCCACTGCAGAGGAGCAAGTTTGGATCAGGCTTCTGGGCCAGCTCTCGGCACAGCCCTGACCGCTCATCCTCAGCTGCCCTGCAGCCTGCTGCGAGCGGGAATTCCTGGCCCTGCCCGTCACAGGAGCAGGTATGACAGCCATGTGGGTGACACCAGGCCTAGGCACTCGGGTGCTTGACTTCACCAGTGCAGACAGGCAACCGGCACACTGGCCAAGGGCCTCACCGGGAGCCCACCCCACACCCCACACCGGGCTCCGGTCCAGACATGGCCCGGGAAGCAGGACAAGCCCTGGCCAGCCCCGTGGTGCCCAGGGGGAGGAAGGGATCCATGTTCCTTGCCTTTGTCTCGCTGGTGACTGCCAGGCGGTGGGCCAGCACCCGCCACGCCACCTTCCAGACCCGGACCCCCTGGCTGGCTCCCCTGCTGCCACCAGCCACGGAGGTGAGTCCCAAGAGCTTGGGGGGGGGGGGGGCAGGCTCTGGGGCCTTGGGCTGTCCCATCCTTCCTCAGCAGAACTGGTTGGAGGAGTTTAGTTGGCAGCCAGCAGGAGTCCCGGCTGCCATCCTGATGTGAGCCAGGAGGCTGGGGCATCTTCCTGTTCATGGTGCCACTGGCGCCCATGCCGCCAATCCAGTCACGCAGCCTGGGGGAAGAAGGGGGGATGCCCAGCAGCTGTCACTGCAGCCCGGACCCCCACCCTGTGATCTTGAGTTACCATGGGCTTTTCTGTCTCCTTTATGAACTGCCCTCCCAAGCATGGAGAGTCAGGTGGCACTGGTTGTTTTTATTATTATCATCATCATCAGTCGTTTCTCTGAGGCTCAGGGATGTGAAACCATAGCTAGGAAAACACAGCAGGACTCGAATTTGAATCTGGGCTCCAGATGGGAAGTTTCCTGAGTTTGCGGGACAGAGCAGCCCTCGAGGCTGGCCACACCGGGAGGTGCCACCATACCGTGGTGGCTTCAGGGTGGTACTTGACTAAGGAAGCACAGGAAGGCGACAACCCCGGAGGGGTCTCTGGGGCCCCTCTTGGGTGTGACAGTGCCATCTTGTGCCTAGTACAGCTGGGGATGGAAGTCACCGACCCCTGGCTTGGGAACAGTGTGGGGCCAAGTCTGGGACGCCTTGCTTGGCTGTGTGTGTCCCCAGGCTTCCCATGCCCATCAGCAGCACTCTGTGGAGGCTGAGGAGGTCCAGGGTGGGGCTCTTCCATAGTCTCCCCTTCTCGCCGCCCCAGTGTCTTGCGGGGGGGGGGGGCATCTTGAGTCTCAGGCTCCATTTCCCATTTTGTGTCCCCTCTATCATGGGCCAGCACACATCAAATCAGTGGCCCTTAGGGGTGTCAGAATGGTCGGGCCACCAGTGCTGCACGCATGGGGACAGCAAGTCACATCTCTAGATGACACTGGGCTGCCCTTTTGGCTTAGAGAGCTGGGGTCATGAGGACAGTAAGGCCTTTGCCATGTCGTGCAGAGCCCATGTCCCTAGCTGGGGCTTCTTTGGCGGCTCCAGGTGTTGCTGCTTCTTGTTGTGGCTGTACTTGGTCAGTGACACCCTGTGAGGTCAGAGTTGGAGTGATGGTGATGTCACATTCCTGTGGCCTCCTCAGGGTTGACACTCCAGTTCCCGCCTCCCAACTAGCTCTGTTCAGCCTCCAGCGTGTGGGGACACCCGTGTGGTCCCCGGAGCTGAAGGGGAGGCCACCGATGGCTCCCCGGAAGCCGGGCAGAGGAGGCTGGGCCCCGATAGGTCCTCCCACTGTCTTCATGCTCCCACACTTGCCAGCTGCATCAGCTGCCAAGAAGTGTGCTCAGCCGCCCACACAGGGCCACCCTAGGACCCAGGCAGGCCAGGAATGGTGATGTCCGTGTCATGTCAGGGAAATGACAAGGGGCTTGGCCGGCCACACCCTCCCTCTAAAAGTAGAACACCAGACAGAAGGGTTGACCTCCACCTGCCGGCAAGGGTGAAAGGCTTTTCTGCCAGGATGAACCCGTGTCTGCGAAGCTGGCCGCCGTCCTCACGAGTCCATAGTCGCCCCAACATTGTTTTGTGCCTGGTTCTCTCGGCTGCATCCTGTTGGGCAGTCCCCAGAACTCTGATCCAGACCGGAACCCATAGGGTCCTGACTGGGACATCAGCAAGGGTCACATTTATGAACTACTTGAAAACATTCACCAAAGGATGATGGAGGGAAACCTGCTGGGTGGACAGAAGGACATGAACCAGGGCCCGAGAAAGAGGCCCAAAAGGGGCTCCAAGAGCTTTGGCTGCCATGTATCGGGGGTCTGGTGGAGGCTGTGGAGCCTCGAGAACCCAGTGTAGTGTCCTATAGATCAGAGGTGGTGACTCAGAGCCAGGGAGTGACGGACAGTGATGCCCAGAGGCCTGTAGCAATACTACCCATCGGCTCCACCCGTTCCTCTTGTCACATGCGGGAACGTGGACCTGATATGATCAGGTCATCCGAAGTTACAGGAGGAGCGGAAATACGGATTTTTACATGAAATCACCTGACCTTTTACTGTTGGCTAAAAAATTTAAAAACATTCTGCAGGCCAAAGAAAACATGTATGGGCCAGATTTGGCCTGGTTCTCATCTCCAGCTGTCAGCTCCCAGCTCTTAGTCTCTCTCCAAGGAACATGCAGAAGGTGTTCGGGGCATGGTTTCCGATTGGGGGGCAGTCATGGCCCCCCAGGAAGGGCAGATGTGCTGTGGGGGCTGGGAACAGCTGAGCAAGGGCCGGAGACTCCAGTCTACCATAACCCCCACTTCCTGGGGAGGCGGTGCTGTGCTCTCTCCCGTTCCCACTGCTTCCAGCAGATTCCAAGCGCAAGGGTTAGCGTTAGCCCTGAGCCTCAGACACACCCAGTGGCATCCCAGCTGTTCCAGTCCCTGGCTCCCCTGACACCCTGTCTGCCCCCTGGGAAAGGTCTGAGCATGCGTCTGCAGTAAGGGCAGCGTAAGGACTGCTGGGCGCACAGCCAGGAACGTGTAAATGGCAAAGCCGGCCATGTGTCACAGCCTTACCAGGGCCTGACACTTGTGATCCCATCTCAGTGGCTGCTGGGAGCTCGGTGGCGGCAGAACATGTCAAGCCAAGCCCTCTATTTCTTCTGTTAGAACCCCAAATAGACACAGAGAAAATGGCACAAACACCCCCTTTCGGGTGCTGGGATGATAAGCACACCTAGTTTACTTTTTATTTTGACACAGTCTTGCTAAATGGGGCTCAAACTTGTGATTCACCTGCCTCAGTCTCCCAGGACACTGGGATTACAGGCACAGGTCACCATGCCTGGTTTCTTTGTTATTTTTTTTTTCAACCGCCACATTCTTCAAATCAGTCTAAAATCCACAGGCTACATTTCGCTGGTGTGTGTCTCCTTTCCCTTTCATTTTTTCCCCTAAGTTATGTTTGTGGAAGAAGACAGGTGGTTTGTCCTGTAGGGGTTCCGTACACTGCTTTTGGTGGGATGCACGCTGGTCTCATGTACCCTTCTGTCCGCTGTGAGTTCCCCCAGCAGTGGCTCCAGGTACGGCCTGGTACGTTTGGATTTTGGTGAGATCACAGTGTGCGAGGTGCTGTGTCCTTTCTTCCAGTGACACGTGCTCCCTTGTGCCTGTTTTGGGAGGGTCCTGCAGGACCCAGGGCACCCACCGAGACCACCCTGGACCCGGCCTCCCTACGCTGTCTGCAGTTTTACTCTTTATGGAGAGAACTATGCTGTCACAGTGGGGTGACTTGCCCTGGGAAGGGGATCACAGAGTGAGGAAGGGTTGGGCTGGGCTTCCCTGGAAACCAGGGATGTGTCTGTGTGCGCGCACCAGGGCATATGTGTGTGCAGGCCTGTCCTTTCTGTGTGTGTGTGCGTGAGTGTATGAATCTGCCTGTATACAGGGAGAACCGTAAGCTGACTTACCAAGAAAGAAGCCACAAAAGGGTTGAGCCAGGCAAGACAGGAATTTTGGAAGAACAGGCAGACAACACCCCAATGTGATAGCACACACCTGCAATCCCAGCACTCAGGGAGGCCGGGGCAGAAGGATCACAAGTTTGAGTTTCACGTAGGCAACGTAAAGCGGCTGTGTTCAAAAATACAAAAACGTGAACCGCTCTGAGGATCTGGCTCAGAGAAAAGGCCCTGAGTTGACTCTCCAGCACCATCACAAACCAACCAACCAAAGGGCCGCTGCAGAGCAGAGGGGATGGGTGGGCAGATGATGGGGATCCCCCCACCCCAGCCCAAGTCCATGAGATGCAGGAAGTGGGGCGGGAGGCAGGCAGGGTGCAGTGTGGCTAACTCCTCTCCTCCTGGGCGCCTCTGGACAGCAGTCCCCCCCAGGATTGGAGGCAGCAAGGGCAGGCAACACAGCCAGCTGCGCAGGGGCTGGCTTCTCAACTCCTCAGCACCAGGCCCCAGGGGCAGGCTTCCGAAGGGGAGAGCCCGGTCCCTCTGGTCACCTGCTGTCCCGCCCGGTGCCACCACCACCTGGCCTTTCCCGGAGGCAGGACTAGGAGCTCACCCTAAATCAAACCGGTATTTATGACACTGGCCTGAGTAGAGAAATATTTTAGCACCATGCCCAGCGGAGCCTGCCCTGCTTCGACCCTCCCTCCCGCAACGCAGCAGGCCCAGCTCCAGTCTGCCCCGCCTCCACCGGCCTGGCCCTCCTCCAGGGGCGGCTGAGGCCTAGGGATGCGGGCAGTGCACCCCCACCCCGCCTCGCCTGCGCCAAGGCCGAGATCAGCCTGCCAGCCACTCGGAGGAAGTCACTCGCATTACCCGCGGTTTCCAGGTGCTGCGCGACGTTAGGCAACTTGGGGAAGGCCGCAGAGCCAGGGAGGGGTTTCGCTGGAATTCGAGGGAGGTGGGTCTGACTTCAGCACGCGTCAGCGTGGACACACCTCACCGCCACGCAGCACACACCCACACGCTCTGCACCAGCGCGGGCACGCCCAACCCGCAATCCCCAGAGGCGGCGGGGGGGGGGGGGGGGAGAGACGCGCAGGCGCCTGCACAAACCCACCCCGATAGGCCCCGCCTCCCAGCGCAGGCCCCGCCCTTCGTGGCTCCGCCTCCCTGGTGCAGGCCTCGCCCCCGGGCTGACCTCACGAGCTGCGGCGGGCGCAGAGCGCTGGGAGCGCAGCGCCCCGGCCGCCCCGGGTCCCGCGGCCCCCCGGCCGGCGCGGCGCGGCGCGGCGCGGAGTGGAGCCGTCCATGGTGCAGCGCATGTGGGCCGAGGCGGCCGGGCCCGCGGGCGGCGCCGAGCCACTGTTCCCGGACTCACGGCGGAGCCGCAGCGTGTGGGACGCCGTGCGCCTGGAGGTGGGCGTCCCCGACAGCTGCCCCGTGGTGCTACACAGTTTCACGCAGCTCGACCCGGACCTGCCGCGCCTGGAGGTGGGTGAGCCGGACCGGGCCGGCCGGCGTCCACAAGGGCCGGGGCCGGGGTCCTGAGGCCGAAATCCTTGGGGCCCCAGCCTGGGCAGCAAGCGGGGCAAGCGGCTGGAAGCACCCCTGGAGGAATACCCTGGGGCCAGAAACCCCCAGCGTGGCCCAAGCCCCTGCACCCCAAGGAGATCTCTTCCCGCGGCGCTGTCCCTGTTGACTTCTGTGGCCTCTGAGTTGCCACCCGCAGGGCCGGCCTCCTTTAACTCAGTGGTCAGCCCGGGCCTGTCCCGACAGTGCCGGCTCCCTCATGCAGGTGGCCAGCAGTAGGGGTGGCATGAGTCTCCATTCCCAGAGGTGATGGGGGCCACTGGGGCCTCCTGGGAGAGAGCGATCAGATGACCAGGGAGACACCAGGGCAGTGAGTTGGGGGAGTCACCAGTCTCCAACTTGTGGACCAGGTGCCCAGGCAGTGAGGGACAGGGCCTTGCAGACCAGAGTGTGAGTCATTTTTGCCTGATTAGAAAATGTGCTGACACCCTAAATTTGTAAGGATTGAGAGAATTCATAGACGGGAGGTAATCTGCCTGTTGTGGATTGTGTGAGGGTAGCAGGCTAGGGGGCCTGGTCTCTTCTTTCAAGTGTCTCTTCTACTGGGGATAGTGGGCTATGTGTGACCACGTCCACCTCTGACCATGCACCTGATGCCCTGCATTGGAGGGAGTGGGAGATGGGGCCTGGCTAAGTCATGTTTCTCTGCTGGGGGAACCCCAGGCCCAGAACCCCTCCAGATCTGGATAGGTGTGCAGGCCAGGCCTCAGTCCTCGTGGCAGCACCACGCGACCCCTGGGAGTGTGGGGGTGGGAGACCCACACCAGCCAGGCGCTCATCTGGCATCCATTATGTCTGGCAACGCCTAGGGCTTTGTGTGCTGCGAGGGTCTGGCCTGAGCCGGGCAGGTTCCCGGCCAGAGTTTAGTATGTTTCTCTCTGTCTCAGCCCCACTGCATCCCTAAGGAGCTGAGGGAGAGGCAGAGTTGAGCTCCATTCCTGCCCTGGTAGCCGTCTTCAGCCCCCAGCCCTCTCTGCTGGTAGATGCAGCCGGCGCCGCTGTTTAGAAATCAGAGGGGAAGCTTCTGGCTGGGGCAGGAAAACCAGGGTCCTGGCAGGAGAGGAGGCCACTGCCGGAAACCAAACACAATGACCATTTAGTGTGGGCCTGGAGGAGGGGGCGGGGAAGTCCCTGTCCCTTCTGCCAAGGCCCTCATCCTGGGACTGACTTCCTGGTGGCTGAAGCATGCCAGAGCTAGAGCTGCCCTGCCTGTGGTCCCTGTCCTCTGGAACCACCAGGTGGTCCCCACTGCCTTCCTCCATCCCTATCCCCGCCACGCTTCCACCCGGTCTTTCCGTCTTGGAGCTGCCAGATGTCCTCACACATCTGCCTGTTATTTTGGTTCTAAGCCAAGCCACCACTGTCCTAGCCTGACCTGCATGTTCTGTGCTTCCTGGAGGTCACTGGCTCTGTGTCCCTGCCTTGGGACAGGCCGTGGCCTGACAGGGTAAGAAGAGTTTACAGGTCTGCAGCTCCTGTCAACTCCAGGTGCTGCCCCCTCGTTCCACCTGGCATAGATCAGACTGCATCACAGTGCCAACCCCAACTCCCAGGGCACAGGGGCAGAGGTGAAGCCCCTGTCCTAGATAGTCACACAGACAAGAAGGGTCATAGCTAAGACTTGGCCATGGGCTGGTTTCCCCAGGGAAACCTGCTGGGTATAAGAGGCAGCAGGGGTCAGAGCAGGACAGGGCAGAGCTGTGGAGAAAGGGAGCCTGGTCAGGGAGGAGGGGTCAGGGCTCAGGGGAGGCTTATTTCTAGTACAGGGACAGATGGAAGTGCTTCACACCAGAAGAAGGGGGAACACAGATTCAGTGAACCCCGGTGAGCCAGTTCTTTGTATGAGGGAGGGAGACCCTGTGCGAAGTGATTGGCATGCATTCTGTCATTTGGGGTCGGGACTATTAATAGCCCATTTGATAGATGAAAGGACTAATGGGATTGCACCAGGTTAATGAGCCGGTTAGTGCAGAGGTGGATTGTGACCCAGAAAGCCTGCCCGTGAGGCCTGAGTGTGCTGCGGGTAGGACAGTACGGACTTCTCTGTGCTTGCAGAGTGCCTCGCTTGTCTGCTCCCTTGATCACACTGTGTACAGCTCCTCAGCTTTCACCCCGGGGCACTCTCCCCTCCCTGCCATGCTGGTGACCCTGAGGCACTGTCTGAGGCTCGCATGTGTGGGTCCTTGCGTGCATACTTGGTGCTGGAATCCTCAGCAGGGTTCCCTGGCTCACTCAAAGTGGGACCCCTAGGAGCCTGGAGAGCTGTCAGATTCAGGAAGGGACTGTCCATCACCACAGGCCCCAGAACTTTGCTTTTCTTCTGGGACACAAGAAGGAGAAGGCGCAGCCCAGATGGCCTGGTCCTGGGTCCTCTTTCCTTCTCTAGGTTAGGAACGCTCAGGCACGCTGGCCCATTTTCTGGGAGGCTCTGGGTGGCCCTGGAAAAAGGAGGAGGAGGAGGTGGGGGACAGCAGGGTACAAGCGCAGGCTGGTGTCTGATCCTCAGTCAGGATGTCCGACAAAGTCTCCAGGCACTGTCTGCATCGCTGGTGAGGACCAGATAGATTTGGAACCAGTCCTCCTTGAAAGCAAACTGTACGCAGGAGGCAGTTCCAGGAGGCTGCACCCAGGCCATGGAGGACTGGCTCCTGGGGGCGGCTGACTGACTGGTTGGCTGGCTGCCTAGGCAGCTCCCACAGCGTGGAACCTCCATGCTCTGGTTACCCTGTCCCCGAATTGGGCCCCCAGCCCCCCATTCCCCAGAGACACTGTGTTCCTAAACATGCCTCCCCAGATCCCACTCTGGAGGGACTGTAGTCAAAGCCTGCGTGGCATGGTGCAGGAGGTGCTGGACATTTTGCACACCCAGCTTCCTTAAAGAGAGAGCAGGTGATAGCCAGGGGTCACCCTGAGAGCGGTGCAGGACCGGTGTTGGGTGGGCCAAGGTGTGGCCTTGGGCTTTGCTTCTTGCTTTGATGGCTTTGCAGCCATGCCTAGAGGCACATTGTCCTTTCCACCCCAGAGGTGAGATGCTGGGGCCCTGATGGCAGAGCAGTATCCTCGGACATCAGCCAGCCCCTTTAAGCCCTGCTGTCCTCCAAGCATCATCACACCTGTCTGTGAGATGGAGATGTTGCAGACTCATCCTCCTCTTGGGGTTCTGGTGTGGACCAAGTGAGAGAGGCAGCCCGCCGAGTGGTCCACAGTGCCTGGCACAGGTGGCAGCGGCCACAGTTAGGTTTTCTGAGAAGTGCTCAGCAAGTGCCAGTGTGGTAGACTCCGGGGTCACGCTGCGGGTCCTTTCAGCGTCCCCAGGCTGCCACTCCCAGCGTTTCGGGCCGTGGTTTGGCTGGCACAGACCTTTTTCCTAGGACGCATCACAAACCTCCACTTAGATACAGTCGGAGGCACCGGCCCAGCCACCCTGCCACTTGTGTGACCCAAGGAAGTCCTTTCTGTCTCTGGCCCTCCTCTGTATCTGTGTCATGAGAGCCAGCCTGTGTCTGAGGTTGTGACCGTAGTAGAAGCAGCAGACAGACCTTGTGTGTCCCCACCAGCTAGGAGTCCAGTCCCTTCCCTGGCTGTCATTTCCTGCCTCCTAACTTGAGCATACCCCTGCCCTGCTGTTTTCTCATCCAACAGGTGGGATGTAAAAAGGATTAACCATAATGTGTGTGCAAAGGGCCTGGCACCAGGAAGCACCCACGTGCACTGCACACTGCAATCAGCGATGGTGGTGGTGGTGGTATAGGGCCTGGACCTTAATAGCCAAGGAGCCAGTCTGCCCTTCACTGCTGCCACCAGCGACGCCCCCTCCCAGGCTGGCCTTGTGGCCTGCCTGTATGACAGTGAGGAATGGGGGGTGGAGGAGGGTGCGTGGGCAGAAGGACAGAGGGTACAAGGCCAGGGTCGTGCCAGGTCTGCTCACCCCCACCTGAAGCATGTTCTTCCTCCTGCAATGCTCTTCCTCCTCCTGTTCTTCCTCCTCCTGCAATGCTCATGTGGCCCTCAGCAGGGCACAGGCTGGCGGGGAGAGTTCCTGTGACTCCTGGTCAGCCAGCACAGGCTGGTCCCCAGACTTGGCTTTCAGGGATCAGGATACTCCCTCGTTGCCATGGCAGCCAGGCACTTTGAAAATCTCCAGCAGAGGCCAGAGCTAGCTGCAGTGCCTGAGGATCAGGAGCGTGGCCCACCCATGGCTGACCCAAAGTCCCTGCACCAGTCCTGCCTATGCCCTAGGGCTCTGGGTGCGGGATGCCTACCCAGAATTGAATGGCCAGCCGAGGGCAAAGGGCCGTGATGCTTGGCACTTTCGTCTTCCTTCCCTTGTGGAGTGCATGGTGTAAGAGCTGAACCAGAACCTCGACCCTGGCCCTCAGCCCCCAACCCAGGCCCCACTGCCTCTGTAAAATGGGATGGGAGCTCTGCCACCTTGGACCCAACTCTGATCTGTTCCGTGTTGTGACCATCGTGTTCCAAGTGAAGGCAGAAAAGTCGGGGGGGGGCGGGGGACCAGTCCCACCACAAGACTTTGGGGGCGCCGCCCGCTGAGAGAGCCCTGGGGAGGGACCCATGTGACCAGAGCTCGCCATTGAGGACTCCACAGTGGCCTTGGGCCCCTGAGCACCACCTGGGGGAGTATGGTGAGGTCTCCAGAGGTTTAGAGCTTCTCCTTCTGCCTTAGCCCCAGCTTTTCAGGGGCAGCCACAGCACAGCTGGAGGCCTCGGGGATCTGGGGCCCTGGCTGTAGCTCCCACAGGAAATGCGCACCACAGTACGGTGCTGGACCACAGTGGAGGTGAGGGTGGGTGAAGATGCCGCCCCAACTGCCAGCATGAGCACCTTGGGGGAAAGAGCAGGACTGGGCACATCCTGGACCCTCCGGGGCCCTTGCCACCTGTGTTCCGCTTTAGGGGAATCTGGGCTTGACCTGTGGCTCCCTCCCTCTATCAGCTGGGGACAGGGCATCCTGCTGGCTTGTTACTTTGAGCACTGATCAGGTGACACAAACTACCCAGGCTGTTTCTTCTTCGTGTCCTAGGGGCTCTGAGCTGTGTCCTGGGGACATTGAGGGGTAGAGGGGGTCCCTGCTTTCTAGGACCCGGGGGACACAGCCACTTTCTATCTACTTACTGATCCAAGTGTATTCAGATGCACAGCTAGCTGTTCCTGGGGGCGCAGGGCCCTGAGGACATCAAGTGCAGGGAGATGGAAAGAGTAGAATCCTCCCCTCAGGACCCAACCAGCCACGTTGCTTGCTTTGCTTTTAAGAGCTGAGTGGCTGCCTGGATGCCTGCCCTCAGGGAAAGCATTTTCTCCGCATCAGCTCTTTACTAGGCCACTCCTTGGTGTCCCTGGGTGCTGGCCTCCCACATGGGCTGTCCACTTCTGGGCAGCTCTTAACAGAAGGTGGCCCAGGGTACCCTTGGGTGCCTGGTCCCTGTGCCTCTGACTCCAGTGTCCCCAGGGCTGTTGGCTGTTTTCCTTCTCTGTGTCTGGAAGGGGGGTCCAAGCCTTCTGCCCAGGACCACAGCAGCACCGTGGTCGCAGGCGGCCGATGTCCCAGTGCCTGTGCCCAGCATCACTGTGTGCCCAGCTTTGTTCTGGTTTCCCTCCTGTGGAAGGAACCAGAGAAGACAGGGTTCACACTGTGTGGGCCGGGAGCAGCTCCCCATCTGTGCGACAGAGGGGTGACTTCCCAATGTCAGGCATCTGTGGCTCGACGCCCGCCTGTACCCCTCCACACATACCAGGCTGGCAGAAGGGGCCCTTTGGGGGTGGGGGAAGGGCACAGGGATCACATGACACCCAAGCACAGTCCTGGCCAGCTGCTGGGCTGCCGCCTGCCTAGGGCCATGACTCCCTGCATAGACCTGCTCAGGGATGGCCCAGGCCGCCTGCACCCGGCTCCTCCTGTGGTGGCCTGACCAGGGCTAACAGTGCCCTGCTGGGAGCTGGCACCACGCTGGGCTTCCTAGGGATTCAAGTCCAGTGCCCTGTGGCAGGTGTCCCCTACATGAGCCCCAGGACTGCTGCAGCAACTGGGGTGCTAAAGGCCCAGCTGGGCTTGATGTGGCTGAAGCCCCTGTGAAGGGAAGAGGCCCTGGCAGCCAGGCCTGGACCTGTAAGAGCCTGGGAGGTGGCAGAGTTGAGGGGGCACACCTCCCAGCCTCCAGGCTACCTCAAGACCGTTTGCCCACAGGGGCAGGAGAGCTGCTGTTTCGGATTCCTGAGACTGGAGGGAAACTCCCCCTCCAGCGGGGAGGTCACCCTTCCTCCTTGTGGCCTGCTTTGGGGGTGTGGCAGTGTCTACAGGTTCCCCAGCTAGCTTCCAAGAAATGGAGCTGGCCCTGTCTCCAGAGGAGGCGGAGTTTGGGAGCTCAGTGTGATATCCACACTTGGTGACAGGAAATACATTTCCCGAAGATGGCCTGGCTGGGAGCCTCCCAGAGCCCTCTGGGGGTGGGCGGAGGTGAGGGAGCCAGGCTAAGGCAGCACCTCCACCTGGGCCCCCTGGAAGCCACACCCTCAAGTGGTGGGGGACACCACATGTCCCAGTGCTGGCCGAGCTGCTCCACCGGTGGCCCTGTGCTGGGCTCACATGCCCAGTTCCTCCCTAGACTCACGTCCTCATCTTTGCCGCCAGCCGCCTCACCATCTTGAACACACCCCTTCCCTGGATGGCCGGAGCTCAGCGGCCTTGCCGCCCTTGGTGTCTCAGCCCAGGCCAAGCCTACACAGGGGACCCCCCCCAGCCTCCTAAAAGAAGGGCCTTGCCTTTCCACCCTGGGGCCTCAGGAGTGGCCAGGTGACCTCTTCCTGTCTCCGCCAAGGCCCCAACGGGGTTCTGCGAAACCTCAGTGCTGCCACCATTCATATCTGTCCCCTCTCACATGAGGAGGAACGGGCGCTGGGAAACCCTCAGTTGCCCAAGCAGCACAGGGCATGAATGAGCAGAAGGGGAAGGAAGTGGCCTAGAATGTGGCAGTCTGGGATGCCCCGGACCTGCCCCAGCCTTGTGATGCTGGCTCCAGGGCCAGGTCATCTGGGGACGCAGGCCGGACAAAGAGGATGGGGGTGAGGAGGTTAGCCAGGATGGGGGTGAGGAGGTCGGCATCTGCCCCAGTACTCCCGTTTCACCCAGGGCTGGAGGTCTGTGCAGCTGCTGCCCTCAGGCACCAGAAGCTCGTACAGGGTCATCCCCTGATGGCTACTCTGGGCATTGTCGTTGCAGAGCTCCACGCAGGAGATCGGCGAGGAACTGATCAACGGGGTCATCTACTCCATCTCCCTGCGCAAGGTGCAGCTGCAGCACGGGGCAAGCAAGGGCCAGCGCTGGCTCGGGGTGAGTACAGCCCACAGCCAATCCACCTCCTGGCCTCCTTCCCAGGACCGCCCATCCCAGTGGACTCTGGATCCAGTCCCACCCACACCTGGCCAAGTGCAAGGGCCACCCGAATAGGAGTGGGGACACGATTCACCTTAGGTCGAGGGTGTTCCCGGTTCATCCCCACTCCCACACATCATAGGCGTCAGCTACTGGTCCTGCCGTGCAGTCTGCCAGCCTCACCAGTGATCACGTGCAGTCAGCCATTCTTCATCCCGGGGCCCCTATGGGTCAGAGGCTGGGGATGACTCAGCCCTGCAATGTTCCAGAAGGGAGGTGATGCTGCAGCTGATACTGCTGTTGGACCCAACCCCATCTGTGCCCATTTCAGCCTCTGTTTTCTCATCTCTGGAATGGGGTGTTTGTTCAGAATCCCTGGGATAGTGCTGTTATCTGAGGTTCCGTCACAGGACCGTCCCTTTGTGGTACTGGAAATGACCTGGGGCCAGATGCAGGCCAGGCAAGCACTGTTCCGCTGAGCTGGGTCCTCACCGCTTTTTACTTCATTTGAAAGCAGTCTTTCCAGATGGCCCGGACTGGCCTTAAACTCATAACTCATGTCCTCCCACCTCAGCTTTCCAAATAGCTGTGGCTACAGATGTGGCCCCGAGACCTTTTCCTCCTGGATTCAGTGTCCCCCCTCTAACCGCAAGCCACTCAGGGCTTGGGAGCTGTGAGCTGAGCTTGACCCTGCTGGAGGTGGGCTGTGCTGACGCCGTGTCCCTTTCCTACTGTCCCCCGCCCCCAGTGCGAGAATGAGTCAGCCCTGAACCTCTACGAGACCTGCAAGGTACGGACCGTGAAGGCAGGCACGCTGGAGAAGCTGGTAGAGCACCTGGTGCCCGCCTTCCAGGGCAGCGACCTTTCCTATGTCACTGTCTTCTTGTGCACCTACCGCGCCTTCACCACCACCCAGCAGGTGCTGGACCTGCTCTTCAAAAGGTGCACACCCACCTCCAGAGGGGGCCGGGCAGGTGGGGGGACTCACCAGTTCCTCTCTGGGGCTAGGAAGGCCTTGCACCCCTCTGAGCCCCAGTTTGCTCTGGGAACCTAGACTGCTTGAATGCCCCTCCTCTGCAAAGGGTATCATAAGGACCAAGCGGAAAAGGCCCTGGAAGCGCCTGAGGCCTCAGGCAAAGCAGTGTCCCCATTCAAGAAGGAGACCCCAGTTTTCACTAGGACACCCCATCCCTGTGCTAGCCCACTCAAGAACTGGGGGGTGGACTGCAGAGCCTGTGGCCTGCTGAGATGGCTGGGAAGGGGCTAACGGTGCAGTAGGAAGCACTGGCCATGCAGGCGCCTTGCCAGGCAGCGTGTAATCCAGTGAGGGAGGCAGGGCCCTCCCTGCTGCCCTGGCCCCCTTTCCTTCGGGGGTCACCCAGTAACACTGGACGTCGTCGTAAGCAGGTACGGTAGATGTGACGCCCTCACGGCCTCCTCTAGATATGGCTGCATTCTCCCCTACTCCAGCGAGGACGGCGGGCCGCAGGACCAACTCAGAAAGTAAGTGAGCTTTGGCCTAAGAGGGGAGGCTCCTCGTGGGCATTTGGGGCTCAGGGGAGTGGGGCACACGCCAGCCCCCACCCCTGTGATTTTCTGGGAGGGTGGAGGTCTGGTACTTTGCCCGCAGGAGGAAGGAAATGAGTGGTGGGTGGGGTCCCAGGCACCCCAGGAGTAGAGCAGAGGCTGCAGCTCCGAGCTGGGCTCAAAATCCATCCCAGCCCCACCACATCGTGGGGAACAATCTGCTCCCCTGGTTGCTGCAGGGCAGTGGCACCCTTCAGGAGCAGTGTCCACGGGAAGACAAGGCCCATATGTGTCCAGGGAACAGTGCGGCAGCCCGAGGCATCACTGACCCAGCCAGGGCCCAGGAGCAGCGTGGGAGTGGGGGGAGAGTTAAGCAAGGGGAGAGCTGGCCGGCCCCAGGGCTCCCTGAAACCCTGACAGGGGGAAACCCAGGAGCTCAGCCCCACAGCAGGGGAGGCCAGACCTCTGACTGCTACCTGCCTTTCCGCCCTCAGCGCCATCTCCTCCATCCTGGGCACCTGGCTGGACCAGTACTCGGAGGATTTCTGCCAGCCTCCAGACTTCCCCTGCCTCAAGCAGCTGGTGGCCTATGTGCAGCTCAACATGCCTGGCTCAGACCTGGAGCGCCGTGCACACCTTCTCCTGGCCCAGCTGGAGGATATGGAGCCCAGCGAGACTGAGCCTGAGGGTGAGGAGGCATGGGGTGGGTCCCTGAGAGAATAGGAAAAGGGGTCTGTGCTGGGCCTTGGACTGGTCGGGTGGTGGACTGCTGTCCGGACAGAGAGGTCCTATTGGGGGTCAGCGGCCAGAATAGCTTAGTGTGAGGCAGTCACACTGAGCATCTTTTGTCTCGCAGCTTTGTCACCAGCTACGGTGCTCACTCTAAAGCCAGCCGCAGAATTGGAGCCCGCCCCGGTCCCGCTTCTGACGTCCACTCCTATAGCAGCGCCAGCGTCGGGCCCACAGCTGGAGCCAGCATCACCTCCCGAGCCAGAGGCAGCTCCAGCCCCTGCCCTGGAGCAAGAGCCATTGCCCGAGCTCCAGCCTGCAGCAGTGGCCATCACAGAGCTGGAGCCCACTCTGTCTCAGACTCTCGAGCTGGAGCCGGTCCCGGGGCCTGGGCCAGCCCTTGAGCAGCCCTGGCCTCCTCCACCAGTGGCCACAGAGAATGGACTGAGCCGGGAGAAGCCGCAAGTTCTGGTGTTCCCTCCCGACCTGGTGGCAGAGCAGTTCACACTGATGGATGCGGTGAGTGCGCCCGGCTCCCCCCCACCCCCCACTCGACATTCCCTGCCTGACTCCAGCTGCACCATCGCACTCTGTGTGGCCTGGGTGAGTTTCTGAGCCTCGAGGCCTGGACTCACCCCAGGGCAGTAGACTCTGGTCTGTCCCTGCATCCCCAGGGAGTGGCCAGGAGGGTTCAGGAGCAGACAGATAGGCTAGGCAGGCAGGCTTGATGGGGAGGGGTGCACCTGGGGGCCTCACCAACCTCAGTGGACACCTGATGTGTACTAGAGTCCACAGTAGATGCCCTGCCGGGCCCTGAGAGGTAGTACATGCCAAACGCGTGTGCACAGCCCTGAGCAGCGGGCAGGAGGTGTGCCCTGGCCTGTGCGGGTGGGAGCCGTGTCCTGTGCTTGGACCCACATCGGGCAGGGGAAACGCCACACTCGTCCTCCTGCCATCGTTTCCCCCAGGTCACTCCTGCACATGGGGAACAAAACCCAGTGAGTCCCATAAGGTTCCAGCTGCATCCTCAGCTTCTGAGCTTCAGCCCTGACCGCTAGGATGCAGTCCTGGCCCAGAAAACTGTGGTCTGTGGCAGGGCCGGGTGACACTGACCCTCTTCTTCAGGAGCTGTTCAAGAAGGTGGTGCCCTACCACTGCCTGGGCTCCATCTGGTCCCAACGGGACAAGAAGGGCAAGGAGCACCTGGCTCCCACCATCCGTGCCACCGTTGCCCAGTTCAACAACGTGGCCAACTGTGTGATCACCACCTGCCTCGGGGACCGGAACACCAAGGCCCCAGACAGGGCCCGGGTGGTGGAGCACTGGATCGAGGTGGCCAGGGTATGTGGCCAGAGGGGCCTGGCACCCTCTTCCGCTTTTCCCTTACCCTGCTCTCCGATGAGGCCTGAGGTCAGAACCCCTGCACAGACCTCAGGCGGCTCCTGCCCAGGTCCACACTGCCCACACCCACTGTCAGGGGCTCACTGCCTCCCGGTGCCAGTCCCTTGGGTTGAGCTGAAACCCTGCTCTCTCTCACCCCGGGTCCCTCACCCACCCTGCAGTGTCCCCCCAGGCATTGTCTCCTTAGGAGCCGGGCAGGGTGGGGACAGTGTGAGCCCCAGCCTGACTCAGAGATCCCTCCACAGGAGTGCCGGGTCCTGAAGAACTTCTCCTCCCTCTACGCCATCCTGTCTGCCCTGCAAAGCAATGCCATCCACCGCCTGAAGAAGACATGGGAAGATGTCTCCAGGTGGGTGTCCATGCCCCTACAGAGGGCCCCAGGCCACAAACCCCAAGAGCAGGGCCACAGGGTAGAGGTGGCGGTAGATCTGCCTCAGCACCCGACTTCCCCAAAGGAGACTTGGAAGTTTTTAGCAGAAGTAGGGGTGGGGTCAGGGTCCCCTCCCTCACCCGCAGAGCCTGGTTGCAAACCACCCGGGCAGGTAGTTCCGTCGCAAAGGAGCCTGGCTTTGCACCTGCACCTCTCCATGCCCCTCCTGACAGGCGCCCTCTTGCTGCCTCTTCCACAGGGACAGCATCCGAATATTCCAGAAGCTGTCTGAGATTTTCTCTGACGAGAACAATTACTCTCTGAGCCGAGAGCTGCTCATCAAGGTCAGGGGGGCCCTGGGGAGCGGGACACAGGGAGGACGATGGAGCTCTGGTTCCTGCCTAAAAGGGTCTCTGCAGAATTCCAGGCCCCTTGCTTCCCTAGAGTAAAGGAAGAGGGATGTGTTTGGCCCTTGAGCAGATGAGATGGGGCAGTTTGGGGTACAGGAGGCCCCTACTCTCTGGACGTAGTAAGAGCAGCTGGTTGTTCTAGGGGAATGCGTGAGCCGGTGGGATTCGCAGGTGTGTGGCTTCTTGATGTGACTTAGCATCCTCCAGACTCACTGGGTGGATGGAGGGGGTATGGTTGCCTCCCCCCATACCCTGCCAGCCCATGCTGCCCCCACAGAGCCAGAGCCCTGCTCCTCGCTGCATGCACAGTACTGCCAAGGGAAGAGGCTTCCTGGGATGGGAACTTGAGGGGCCACAGGGGGGCCACAGGGCCCAGCTGGCCACCTGGGGGACCAGAGATGCAGACCCAGGAGGCAGAAGTGGGTGTGCTGTGCAGCTCCCCCTCTGCTGACAGTGGAGAATGTTAACAGGTCCCAGGAGCCTCCATGCCATGGCAGGTGCTTGGGTGGCTCAGAGGTACCGGGGACAGGTGACCTCTCAGTGGTCCTCATTGACCCACCCCAGAAGCATCCACAGATAGAAAATGCAGTTCCCACCCCCACCCCCACTCTCGCTGTGCTGGGCAGTGAGGTGGCTTGGGAATTCCTGGTTCTGATGGGTGAGGGCAGAGTTACCCATGGGGGAACATGGTAGGAGGCTCTGTGGGGGCAGGAAACATCCGGATCTGCCAAGGGTCCCTCTCAGGACACAGGCACCTTGTCCCTGCCCTCCTGTGGCTCTGCTTGGCTGGGCGTCCTGGCACCACCACCACCCCCCATTGAAAGGTTGGTGAGGCTGAAGGTCTGCCCTCTGGGTCCCTGTGGTGCCCTGGGCAAATTGCCACCCTCTCTGGGCCTCAGTCTCCTGGAGGATAGTGGACCAAGCAGTCTGGGTGCTGACGTCGTAGCAGGACACAAGGTCCAAGGGAGACTGCAGGACAGGAGCCAGAGCAGGAATTCGACCCTGAGGCCTGAGCCTGCCAGGCAGCGGGGAGTCTGGTTCCTGCTGCAAGGAGGCCAGGCCAGGTCTGAGTGACCCTGGAGGGCTGTGGGGGCCTGGGAATCAGTCCTCAAGGTCAAAGTTGGGGCACTGGAGGGACGGAGTGGGGCGGCCTCACTGACCTGTCATCATCACTGGCAGGAGGGGACCTCCAAGTTTGCCACCCTGGAGATGAACCCCAGGAGAGCTCAGAGGCGGCCAAAGGAGACGGTGAGTGACCATCAGGCCTAGGGAAGAGGGGCTTCCCTGCCTGAGGCTCCCCCTCCTGGCCAGCTGGCACTGTGGAGGGATGAAGACACGGCCTGGCACAGCCCTTGGGGGAGGGGTGCAGGCAGGGGTCAGAGTACTTTGGGGGACCTGCCAGATGCCAACCTGGAAGGTGACCAGAGACAGCATGGGGACCATGGGGTCCAGGAGGGGAACCAGAATTGGGGTAGTCACACTGCCCGGGCAGCACAGAGGGGGAGGCCAGGATGACAAGCCCAGAGGGGCGGGGACCCTGTGCCTCACTTCCCACCTTCCATCCGGTGCCACCCCTAGGGTGTCATCCAGGGCACCATTCCCTATCTGGGCACTTTCCTCACTGACCTGGTGATGCTGGACACTGCCATGAAAGACTATCTGTATGTGAGTGAGCCGGGCTGGGGCCGTGGTGGGACTGCCCAGAGGGCTGGGTCCTGAGGCCTGGGAGGGAGGGAGGGCCCCTCAATGATCCCAGGGCCTCCACACCTGGGGAGCCTTGTGGCTGAGCCCTGTATCCCTCTTACCTGGGGACCCCCGGAGCTGCCCAACATTAGAGTTGTCACAGGGCCTCTTGGGTTAATGGCCGTGGGCTGCAGAGTGGAGCTGGACACTCCCAAGTCTAGGAGGCTCTTGGTGATCCAGTGGGACCATCTCACTTGAGGCTTCAGTCTCTCTATTGTCACAGATAGGGCAGGCAGGGCAGGCAAGTAGGTTCAAGAGCCTCTGTCCCCGTCCCTGCCCTAGTCCTGGTGTGAGTGCACCCTGCCTCCTGGTGGGCACAGCTGGCAGTGCAGCCTGTGACAGGTGGCCTCAAGGGTGGAAGGGCAACTCCTGATGGCCACCACCCTCTGCCTTCTAGGGGCGACTGATCAACTTCGAGAAGAGGAGGAAGGTGAGCAGCCACTGCCCTCACAGGCGGGGGTCCTGCCTCAGAGGACATTGGGCTCCACGTGCCCTGTTGGTTATGGGGAGGTCTCGTGCCTAGAGCAGCCAACCCAGGGAGGTGGGGACAAATTAGGACCCCACACAGCTTCCTGGACAGGCTTCTGACCCAGCTGTGAGAACAGTGAGGAGGAGCCTGCCGTGTGGGCTGGGCCCAGAGCACAGACCCAGACACTGCCCCTGGCCTGCCAGCTGGCATCCGCCCAGGCCCCTCACCCCCATCCTCACCTCTGCCCCAGGAGTTCGAAGTCATTGCCCAGATCAAGCTGCTGCAGTCAGCCTGCAACAACTACAGCATTGCACCTGAGGAGCGCTTCCGGGCCTGGTTCCGGGCCCTGGACCGGCTCAGCGAGGCGGAGAGGTGAGGTGGGGCAGGGGAGAGGTGAGGCGGAGAGGACCAGGCACAGCCAGGGTGGGCCGTGCCTGATCGTGGTGGCGGTGGCTGGGCTCTGGCTTTTGGAGGGGCCCTGGGAGGGACACGTGTGGCTCCCACCAGCTTCACACCACCCCTGCCATAGCTACAGCCTGTCGTGTGAGCTAGAGCCCCCGTCCGAGTCGGCCAGCAACACCCTCAAGTCCAAGAAGAGCACTGCCATTGTCAAGCGCTGGAGCGAGTGAGTGCCCCACCGGGCAGGCAGGGGCTGGAGATGCTTCGGGGCTGCCCCAGGTGGGCTCAGGAGCCACATGGGCAGACTGGGCCCTGCCCACGGCACCCCAGCTTCGGTTCCTCCACCCTGATTGGGTGCTAGGAAGTGATCTCGGCAGCCAGGGCTGGAGTCCCCACGCCTGACCCCACACCCAACCTGCTGCACAGAAGGCCCTGGGAGGCAGCATGGCTCCGTACCTTGGGACGTCCCTCACATCCACCCGCCCTTCTGTCCAGCCGCCAGGCCCCCAGCACCGAGCTCAGTACCAGCAGCAGCTCCCACTCCAAGTCCTGTGATCAGCTCAGGTGCGGCCCCTACCTCAGCAGCGGGGACATTGCCGACGCCCTCAGTGTGCACTCGGCCGGCTCCTCCAGCTCTGACGTGGAGGAGATCAACATGAGCTTTGTCCCCGAGTCCCCGGATGGCCAGGAAAAGAAGGTGACGGACGGCCTACCGCGCCCCTCCCCTCCTCCCGTGTCCACACAAGGAGGTGGACACGGAGGCAGAGAGCTGGCAGCCAGCTGGGCCCCAGCACCCCAGCTCCGCTGACACCTCCGTCCCCTGCAGTTCTGGGAGTCGGCCTCACAGTCCTCCCCAGAGACCTCTGGCATCAGCTCGGCCTCCAGTAGCACGTCCTCATCCTCAGCCTCCACCACGCCTGTGGCCGCCACGCGCACTCACAAGCGCTCTGTCTCGGGGGTCTGCAGCTACAGCTCCTCGCTGCCGCTCTACAACCAGCAGGTGGGCGACTGCTGTATCATCCGCGTGAGCCTGGACGTGGACAACGGCAACATGTACAAGAGCATCCTGGTGAGCATCCAGCTGGCTCACGGTGGACAGGGAAGAAGAGGACAGCGGGCGGCTCCCAGTGGGGAGGCAGGGCATGTGCCCAGCCCCCAGGAGGGCAGGAGCTGCAGGTCAGGGGGCTTGGAGGGCAAGGTCAGGAAGTCAGAGCACGTTCAGAGCTTGGGCTGCACAGAAAGCACCTGACTTTCTCACAGAGGGACACAGTGCAGGAGTCCCTGCACTGGTGGCTGTGGTGTGCCCAGGACTCTTACAGTCTGGGCAACCCTGGAGCACAGAGCTGCCAGGATCTGCTCATGGAGTGTGTGTGGGCATGGGCAGAGGAATCCTGCTCCCCTGGGGCTCTGCTTCAGATAAGCCGCTTGTAACTCCACAAACCCCACCCTGCATGACTCACTGCGGCCAGCACAGCCATGGGCTGCACTCACCTGCATGGCCTCGTGTCTGGGCCCCACATATGCTCTGGGCATCAGGGTCTAGGTGCCTGGGGGTCTAGCTTGTCCACCCACACTGCTGCAGCCTCCAGGGAAGAACAGGCTGGGGACCAAGAGAGCCACTGACCAGCCAGCCAGCTTCTCCTCCCTTGGGGTTGACCCAGAGGCCATCTGATCCCAGCCTCAAGATCCCATTGTGTTTGAGGGCCAGCGACTGGCCAAGATGGCCTGGGTCTTGGCCTGGGAGGAAAGGCCACTGTGGGAAAATGGGGCTGGGGAAGCCAGGGAAGAGCCTGCTTGTCCTGCGGAGGCCACTTCAGAGGCCAGGCAGCAAGGCCCCTGGACACTTGAGGAGAGGTGGCTCCGTGTCATCTCTGGCCAATGTGCCCTAGGGAACCTCCAGGCCCCATGCCTGATGGCCTGTCCATGTCCTGACCCAGGTGACCAGCCAGGATAAGGCTCCTACCGTCATCCGCAAGGCCATGGACAAACACAACCTGGACGAGGACGAGCCCGAGGACTACGAGCTGGTGCAGATCATTTCTGATGACCGTAGTGAGTCATGGCGAGGGCAGGGGCCAGGCCCAGCACTGCTCCCAACCCGAATCCAGGTCCCCGGGCTCAGAAAACACAGCAGCCGGGGGAAGGTGGGCACGGCGCACCTGTGAGCTGCCCTGGGTTAGCCCCCAGGTCCCCTTGCTGCCGCTGCACCTTCCTGGCACATGAACAGGCATTGCAAAGCTGAGATCAGCAGGGCAGAAGAAGAGAAGTCTTGCTGTAGACAGGCCTGGCCCATTGGCCCCTACACGGGCTGCGTGCTGGCCAAGAGAGAAACTGGACTTCAGGTCAGGACAGCTGTGGCCCCGTGTACCACATTTAGGCCCAGCCACCCAGGACTAGTTAGAGCCAGCGAGTCCAGCCTTAGCTGAGAGTAGGCTCTTGGCTGTTGGATGGGAAAGGGCCCAGAGGAAGGGCTTGCTTGGTCCCTGGAGCCCTCGGGGTGTGAGGCCGCCTGGGCCCTGACAGCACAGCAAGGCAAGGTGAGGCCTGCCCAGCCGGTGTCGGAACCAGCAAGGGCAGGGCATGGGCAGCACAGAGGGGCCCTGCCGGTGCCAGGCTGAGCTGGGCTGCTCTGGGCTCCGCATCTCTCTCTCTCTCTCTCTCTCTCTCTCTCTCTCTCTTTCTCTCTTTCTCTCTTTCTCTCTTTCTCTCTCTCTTTCTTTTTCTTTCTTTTTGATTCTACTTTAAAGAGAATCAAACCAAGCAAAATGAAGCAGAATAAAGCCAATCAAAACAAGCCAGTGTAAGTGACCCAGGGTTTCAAAACAAGATAATAGGAAATCAACAATGGCTACCATAATGCCTCGTATTGTCTCCAGAATAGCTGCCCATACCTTCAGACATAGTGAAATCAAACAAAACAGAACAGAATAGAACCAATAAAAACAAAACGATGAATGCAATTCGAGATTTCAAAACGAGTAAGTCCAAAATGGCTACTCTATCTTGTTATCTTTGAAATAGCTGCTCATGCCATCAGATACAACAAAATCAAACAAAATAAAAAGGAATAAAACCCAGCCAAACAAAACAACGGAAATGATACTGGACTTTGAAACAAGATAATAGGGAATTAACAGTGGCCACCACCCTCAAAAGGAGAGCCCCGTATATGCTAATTTACCTTCTGTTGTCTGAATAGATGATCAGACTCCCAGCTTTAGGCCTGCAAAGTCAGTGCAACACTAAACACTGCAAGCATGAAGTTTCATTTTACCTCATTGGCTAGCATCTCAGCCTGTGTTTCTCCAGATCAGCGGGCCGCTTACAGGGGTGGACCTTGGCTCTTGTCTCCCTAAGAAGAGTCTGAGCTTTATCAGCGCCTGTACAGTCTGCCCTTGGCAGGAGCTTTGGGAGGGGTCGCTGGCTGTCTGGAGCTGCTTGGAGGGCTCTTGGGCCAGTCCTGGTCCAGGCCTGTCCTCCTGGGGGACGCTCTCAAGTGGTGAGGGTATCCTGTGGGGGCCCCGGGAACACCCCTGACCCTCCTCTGTCCCTCTACCACCAGAGCTGAAGATCCCCGAAAATGCCAACGTGTTCTACGCCATGAACTCTGCTGCCAACTACGACTTCATCCTGAAGAAGCGGGCCTTCAGCAAGGGGGCAGCGAAGGTCAAGCATGGGGCCAGCTCCACCCTCCCTCGCATGAAACAGAAAGGACTCAAGATTGCCAAGGGCATCTTCTGAGGACCTCTCCTCAGGGTCTGGCTGGCCAGTGGCTCAGCGCTTACAGCCCAGAGTGACCAAGGCCAAGCAGGTACCTTCTGCCCACCTGCCAGCCCAGGCCACCTCCATCTCCAGTTTCACCTGAACCTCTCCTGCCGCCGGGATTGACACCTGTCATCTGACAGGCTGACCTGGCCTCCGTGGACCACTCGCTGCCTTAGGTGCCTTCTGCTCTCTGGAACCAGAGGCCTAGCTGACCTCGTCAAGGAGGACGGCCGGTGGGCGTGGTACCCAGGCCTGCCCCTGGGCGCCACCCTCCATCCACTTCCCTGACACCTTCCCAGGTGCGGGTCACTGCCATCTGTGCCCCTGGCACCCCAGGGCACCCACACAACCAGCGGGTCTGACCACTGCGGTTCTCTCCTCCTGCCCACGGGCACTGGGCTGCGACCTTCCCGGGGTCCCAGCCCCTCCTCTCACCACTCGGGCCTTTCTCAGGCTGCACCAAAGAGTCCATCATCGGGGCCGAGCAGAGAGAGAGGCTCTCACCGACTGTGCGCTTCTCCCCGTGAGCAAGGAAGCCCCGTGGGTGTCGCACCTCATGTCACTCCAAGTGCCATTCACTGCATCCGGGCTGGGCAAGGCCACACAAGATGGGGTCGAGGAAACCGAGGGGACCTGGGGGAGGCGGAGGGCAACTGAATATTTGTATAGAAAGAAAGAAAAAATGTTTACTGATTGGGGCGGGGCAATATTTATTTGTTGTAAATAGAAAATGCTAGACTTGAATATTATATTAAAACCTCGTTTCTACTATGGCCTGGTCAGCGTGGCTTTGGGCTTAGCTTTCCTGCAGTAGCATCAGTAACATGGTTTCATGCGGAAATGCAGACTCTCGTGGGATCCTGTTTACACTGGGAGGGCTGCACCTTCCGAGAGCTACCTCAACGAGGGAATCCTCCAGCCTGTGGGCGAGGTTACACCGGGTGGCGCGCTGAGCGGGTGCGCAGAGCTCCTGAGATGAAAGCCGACAGGTGCTCTGGAATTTGGGTATCTTTGCGACAGAAGGTAGCGGCGTAGGGAGCCCAGGCTGTTGTGGAAGCAGCCTCATAGGTGATCCTTGAGAACAGGCAATGCAGGCTGCAGGTGTCTTAAACCTCAGCAGACCGCTCAGCAAAGGGAGGCACTGCTAGAGCTCCACTGTTGAATCGCTGGGCGATAGAGCAGAAAATCCAGCGACCACAGCAGGCGCACAGCCTGTGCACGGAAGGGCTGTGGGAGCCTGCACCATGGGCCTCTCGCAGGTGGCAGAAGCCGGCGTTCAGGAGCCACGCTGTGATTTCCAAGCATCTGTACTGTAATTCTCAGCATTCAGTTCCCAAAAAGTTACAAAGCATGCAGAGGAAGTGGGCCAGACCCACAGGAACAAATAAATAGCAGAATTCGGCAGAAACTCTCCGAGGAAGCCCAGACCGTAGACTTACAGTCAACAACGGTGCGAAAGACATGTCTGACACACAGGAAACAACAGAGGCTAGCAGAGCTTAGGCCTTCCATCTCAGTAATTGCTGTGAGTATATATATGGGGTAAGCTCTCCAATTTAAAAGCCAAGATTTTTGAGGTGTGGTGGTACACGTCTGTAATCTTACCACTCTGGGAGGCTGAGGCAGGAAGATTGTAACTTGAGCAATTTAGCAAGACCCTGTCTCAAAAAACAAAGAAGTTGTAAGGATGTATCTTGGCGTGAAGGCCTTTGATGCAATCTCCAGTGCCAAAAGATTTTTAAAAGCATAAGGGGCCAGGGCTATAGCTCAGCAGTACAGTGCCTGCTTGGGAAGTACAAGGTCCTGAGTTCAATTCCTAGTAAAGAAAAAAAAGGATATGACTAACAAAATGTATTTAAAGAGAAAAGCTCCATGATCGTATTCAAAGAGATTCACTTTGAATACAAAGATACATTGCAAGGGCCGGGGACTTAGCTCAGTGGCGCACCTGCCTGGCAAGTGCAAGGTTATGAGTTTGAGCCCTGGTTCCCCCCCCCCCCCGCAAAAAAACAAAAGGCTAGCAAAAGACAAGCAAGGTCAGTGTATTTTGTTAGAAGTTAAATTCTTCAAGGAGATACAATGGTAAACAGGCACACCTATGATGCAAAAATCACCAACATCTAAGGGAGAAATGTATCATTGGAGACCTCCATACCTCACTTCCGATAATGGACACGTCAGATGTGGTTGGTAGTGCACACCCAGCCCTCAGGAGGCTGAGGCAGGAGGCAGGCATGTTTGAGGGCAGCCTGAACTGCATAGCAAGATCTTGCCTCACAGAAGATCTATGGGGACACAGAATGAGCAGTGCTGTAGAGTTAGACAAGGACACGCCTACAAGAACCTTCCACTCAACAGAGCCCAGAAGGAAGGAAATAATAGCAGAGCTGGAGGATAGAAATGCAGTGGAGAGAATCAGTCACCTCCGAAGCTGCCTCTGTGAAAGGTCCAACCACACAAAGGCTGAGAGAAGGACACAACCAGAATTTGAAATCGAAGTGGGAAATCACTTCTCCCTTCACAAGAGAAAAGATGGGCAAGTCAGGGATGCCAGCCACACGGTAAAATGTGGAATGAGCCTCAAGGAAGAGGGTCATCGTGCGTGTCATACAGTGGGCTAGTTACAGATGTTACGTTTCCTCTGACAAGCAACATCTCAGATTCCTAGAGACAGAAAGGAGGAAAGGGAATTTGTATTAAAGGACAGAGGTTCTCTTTGGGATAATGGAAAAGTCTTAAGAATAGTGGAGGGGCTGGGGATTTAGCTCAGCGGCATAAGCACTGCCTTGCAAGCAGGCGCTCGTGAGCTCAATCCCCAGTACCGATAAAAATGAAAAAGATTAGTGGAGATGGTTGCCTAAAGCCTGGATATGATTAACTTAGGTCTAAAAAATAGTTAAATTAGCATAAATGTGTTATTTGTTTTGGGGGATTTTGTTTTCTCTCCCTATCCCCTCACTCCCTCCCCCGATATCTGTGTGTGTGTGTGTGTGTGTGTGTGTGTGTGTGTGTGTGAGAGAGAGAGAGAGAGAGAGAGAGAGAGAGAGAGAGAGAGAGAGAGAGTGAGAGAGAGAGAGCGCGCCCCAGGGAGCTTGAACAAGCTAGGCAAGCTCTTTACCCTTGAGCTCTCTCTCCCCAAACTTTTTTCAGTTTTTATTTTGAAATAAAGGTCTCTTAAGTCCTTAAGTTGCTGTAGCTGAGCTCAAATCCCATGCATCCCAGAGGGCAGGGATTTTATGGTGCAGCACCATGCCCAGCTTCTAGTCCTTTTTTAAATTGTATTTTGAAGTGAGGTCTCACTGAATTTCCTGAACTGGCCCTGACCTTGCAGTAGCTTAGCTCAGCCTCTCCAGGGGCTGGGATCAGGGGCGTGTACTCATCTACATTATGTGTACTTTATTACAGTTTTTTAAAAATAACGTTTGCAACAAGCATGTCCTGACCCAAGGCAGCAGCTGCCTGCCACCACCTTGTGAGCAGAGGAGCCCTGCGCGCTCGGGTCTCTTGATTACCAATGAGGGACCTGAAGATTCCAAGTAATAGTTAGGGATTCGGCCCTAAGTAAGGAAAACTGCAGAGAGATGAGACACGCAGTGAGGAGAGGAGAAGGCCAGGAAAGAGCACCAGCTTCTCCGCCGTCTCTGTCCCTGTCCCTGTAGGAGCCGTGGCCTCCCTGTCCTTTAGATGGAGCCCTGTGGGAATCCCTGCTGGTGCCCTGTCCCTGAGGACCTGAGATACAGCCACTAAGGCTGCAGGGGCCTTGGCATAAGCGCCCTGCCTCGAGCTCATTTCCCTCTGCTTCACGTTCTATGGACTTCGTGACCAGGTCCCCGGAGGCCACTCTAGTACCTCTGAATAAGGCTCAGGGCTTCGGGGCTGCCAGGACCACAGCACGAATTCCTGCCAGCAGAAGACCCCGCCCTCCACGGCACTGGACCTGGCTCCTCCTCTACTCTAAGCTGAGGACAGGCTGAGGAGGCTGGAGACTGACCTAGGCCTCAGGCAGTATCAGGCCAAGCACCTGTCACTAGCACAGGTGATCTGTGGCTGTGGTGGCCAGTCAGTGGCATGGGTGTCACAGCAGGGCCACCGGGCCCTCTGCGATTGTGTCACAGAGTGAATGAGCCCTCTGCGATTGTGTCACAGGATGAATGAGTTTCTTCTAAACTGAAACCACTGTATTCAGCTTAACTGCCCTATTGGCCCTGCACCGTGGATAAAAGGGTTTCGGGCTGCACTGGGTGCTCTGTGCCTAGAAGGGTCACCATCCTTGGCCAGAAGGCCACAGCCTCCCCTACCCCTAGGCTCACTGAAGGATGACAGAGGCCAGATGAGAGAGATGGAGTTTTATTCAGGAGGTGCTCAGGAGAGGAGGTGGCCCTGGGGACCCAGGCTGGGGACCCCTTAGGGACAGATGCATAGACACTAGAAGCCAATGGCTGCAGGCATCTGAGGTGCCAGGGAATCGTCTGCAGGGGCCTCGGGGACAACTTCAGAGTCATCTGCGGGGGGCACAGGCACAGCTTCAGGGTCATATACAGGGGGCACAAGGATGGCCCCTTCAGCCACCGTGGGCAGCGCCTGGTAGGTCAGGGCCCAGAAGCGCAGAAACTGGGTCCTCAGGTGCTGCTTCATGGAGTTGCTGTTCAGATTCTTGTTGATCTCCAGGTAGTTGCCATTCTCCATGGTGTAGGGGTACCAGCGTGTGGGCACCGAAGAGAGGCCCGTGTTGGGGTCCCTGCACACAGTGAGAACTGGCTGGGTGGGGGCAGAGGGCCCTAGGAACCTGGGGACTTGCAGCCTGCTCTCTGCATGGCCATCAGACCTCTGAGCCGCCTGGGTCATCACCCAGCCCTAGCTGAGCAGCTCATGGTCTTGGGGCCCAGTCTGCGTCTCCGGCCCTCACAGACAGAGGCAGATGCTAAAGTCAGGGAGGCAAAGAACACACACTGCTGCCCCCGCTGGTACATGAAAACAGGGACCAGGACACAGGCCACCATGGTGGGGTCCTCCAACGTGCTGCCCTTGGCCCGGATTGAGTCCACTCCTTACCCACTTCTGGCAAAGTTGGTCCAGTAGGCAATCATGGCCTTGGACACAGTCCTGTCTTGAGCCCGGTAGCCCAGCGGGGTGGCGAAGGGCTTTCCGAAGATGTACTGCAGATCATCAGCGTGGTCGGCCCCCACCCACTTGGGATAGATGGGCATCCGGGAGGGCACAGAGAAGAGGTAGGCGTAGGTCCTGGCACTCCTGACAGGAGGAGACAGGGCCGGGGCTGGAGCTGACTCCCCCAAGGCTGCCCCGCCACAGATGGACCCGTAGGGAGGCTGGGGAGCAGGGAAAGGCCTGGGGGTCCCCACCAAGACTCACAGGGAAATGGGGCCTCCTACACCTGGAGCAGGAAAGCGGGTCAGGGTGGGGGGAGGGGGCGGCAAACCCCCCAGATGCTGTAATCTCACTCGTTTCCTGACCTCAGACATACAAACGCTGGTCCCCCTCTAGCCTCCCAGCTGCCAAGCGACCACGGGCAGGCACCTTCCTCCCGAGACTTGGTGTCCCTAAGCTCTCTGTCCTCCAGGTGCGTTTGCACGCCTCCTTTCCCTGGACAGGACAGGGGCCCTCATCTGCCTCCCTTCCTGCCTTGACCATGGGACGCTCAGGCTCCGTTCATTGCTTGGCCTGGCACAGCTGGCCAGTGCAGTGTCCAGGACACCGCCCCCAAGAAACCACCCTCTCCTCAGACCCTCACTTGGCATTGGCGCTGTGCTGAGCCAGGGCTGTCTCCGTGGGCATCAGAAAGAGGATGTCGGTCTCCAGGTCCACCACCGTCTTCTTCTTGGTCTCCTGGGACGGATCCTGAGCCCAAGACTCAGTGTAGATTTTAAAGGCGGCCCTGGCGCCATCCAGCCCCTTGCTGACAGTGAGCCCACTGACCAGCCAGTAGAAGTCCTCCCTGCAGGGACCAGGCAGGACTAGACTCTGCTCTAGAGCCAGCAGGAGGCCATGTGCATATCCGCCCCCAGCACAGCACCACCTGCCTGGACCTCCCTCCTCTCCCCATGTCTCCTGCCTTCAAGGCAGACTCCCCAGGCTGCTTCTTCCCAGCTGTGCCCCACAGGTGCTGCCCTTGAGTCCTGGGTCACTGCTTACGCTGTGACAGATTTGTGGGACTTGTCGATGGCCGGCATGTCAACAGTGGCAAAGAGGTGGCCATCCATGCTGTTGGTGCCCACTAGGTAGTCGATGTCAGCAGCGTTGGCAAACAGGTTGAGTGGTTCGTCGGGGATGAAGTCTCCGTCGATGACAGGGATAAAGCCCAGGTAGTGCACCACAGGGTCTGGGGGCAAGGGGGAGCAGGTTCCCACACCCGCAGCGCATCCTGCCTCCCCACGTATCTGGAGTTCATCTTCCTCCTTTGCTCCCCATGTAGTTTCTCAAGCCCAGCACGAGGACTCACAACCAGAGAGTCCTGCATGGGGTGGGACTGTCCCCCAGTGTGGGCTGTTGAGCTGTACTCTGCCCAATGCCAGTGCCCTCTTCCCCCCTGGGAACATTCTAAATGTGTCCAGATGGCACCTCATGGCCCCCTAGGAAAGCACACTGCTCTAGGGGCCAGTCTGTGCCCTGGCTTCAGCGTCATCTGCTCCCTCCCCTTCCTCTCCTCTCACTGAATTTAAGAGCTGGGAAGACCTGGCAGCCCCAGAGGTGGCTGATGGAGAAAGAGGGGCCCCTCTTTCAGGGCAAGGTCTCCTCTGGGAGCCAGCAGAGACTTGTGGGGGCCAGGGCCCTGGCAGCATGCTCCTCTCTTCTGTACGCGCTTGGCTCCCCCCAGCAGGAGCCCGCTCACTCCTGCACCCCTTAGGGCCCCACCTGAAAGCCCCTACTCACATTCCTGGGTCACCAAGGGCAATCTGTAAGCCAAGGTCAGGGACCGGGGGTCAGTAGCCTTCAGACAGCTGGCCATTGCGGCAGTGTCGTCCTCAGGGCAGCCCACCTTCTTGGCAATCTGGAGCAGGGGCAAAGGCAGCATGTTGGGTGAGGTCAGAGAGCTCAGGATGGCTCCCAGGTGAGGACAGAGGATGGGAACGAGAGAGCCCCACTGGGGTGTCCATCAGAAACCCCTCACCAACCACCCCTGGCCTCCCAGACTTACCTTTTGGGCCCAGAAGAGGGGGTTGTGCTGGATGGCCCAGGGGCTAAGCCCCACACCGCTCTGGCTGATAGCTCTCCTGATGAGGCCTTTGTTGTAGGGAGACAGGGTCTGTGACAGCCAGGAGCCTGTCACTTAGCCATTCCCAGGCTGAGCACACCCCAGCCCGTCCCCTGACCTGCTCTCCTGCCTCCCTCTTCCCCTGCTCTTCCCAAACTTTGGGGTCAAGGATCCCCTCTGGGGCACCCAGACCTGCAGAGAGACGCTGGCACCTCCAGCTGACTCCCCAAAGATGGTGATGTTGTCAGGGTCCCCCCCGAAGGCCGCGATGTTCCTCTTCACCCAGGCGATGGCCATGTGCTGATCCCGAAGGCCATAGTTCCCTGGAGGTAGAGTGGGGGGAGCTGTCATCCAGGCCCTGGAGGGGCTGCAGGGTGCTGGGCGTGACGACCTGTGGCCCCCGCACACCGTGGTGCCAATGACACTGGCTGTCCCCGCCCCAGAGCACCCAGCAGACCTGGAAGGTTGGCGTCCCCGGTGCTGAGGAAGCCCAGGGGGCCAACACGGTAGTTGAAGGTGACCACGATGACGTTGCCGCGGGTGGCGAGCTCCTCCCCGTCGTACAGGTAGTTGCTGAGGAAGTTGGCCCCTTGGGCAGCCCCCATGAGGAAGGCCCCACCGTAGATCCAGACCATCACGGGCAGATTCTCGGAGACTGAGGGGGGGAGCGGGACAGTGATGACTCCAGATGCCTGGCCCGTATCTCCCAGTCAGTCCTCCGTCGGTGCCCTGTGCAGTGGGCACCCTTCCCCCGCCAAGGGACAAATGGTAGAGCCCCCTACCCTGGCCTGTGAACCGATTGCAGGGATTTGCTGCTTGGCAGCCCCCTCCCAACACCCAGTGCAGGGCCACGGCTCTGGCCTGGGGATTCCTACTGGGTGCAGGGCCAGACCTTGCTTCCTGCCCTGGGGGACCCAGATGTTGAGGTAGAGGCAGTCTTCCTCCCCGTAGGTGCTGGACTGTGTGATAGTGGCTTGTAGGCATCGCTTCTTGTAGTCTGTGGCCTGCAGGGTCCCTGAGGGGAGCAGGAGCAGATAGTGTGAGGGTGCAGCTGCCCTCACCACCCACCGAGGGGCACCCAGCAGCCCTGTGTGTCCTCACCTTGCCAGCCAGGGTGACGCTCTGGGTTCTCCAGGGTCTTGGCAGTAGCAAAGGGTATGCCCTTGAAGATGTCCACGGAGTCACCACCCAAGAGGCTGAGTCTCTTGTTGACACCTTCCACAAATCCTCCTTCTGTGTACACGACGCCCAGCTTTGGGGAGACATGGCAGGGTCAGGCAGCCGTGTCCTGGGCAGCCTGAATCCTGAGTGGTGACCGGAGCAGGTCCAGGATGCCCGGGTCCTTTCGGGCCCTTTCAGAGGAGGAGACAAGGCCAGCTGGCCGAGTGTCCAGGGTGGCAGAGGGGCCGCCTCTCTGGGCCCACACCCCACCCACGGGTGTCAGGCTCTGTGGGACTAGGGTGCTGTACCACCCATGTTCCCATGCAGCTCAGCTGTAGCTCGGGCTCCAGCTATGGTTGCCTACCTCCCACACAGAGCCTCAGTTTCCCCATGTGTAAGGTGGGACCCAGCAGGGTCTCCCAGAGTCTACAAAATGTTTCCTCCACAGCTATGTGCTGCCCGAGGAGCAGCCCTTCCGCCTCCTCCTTCTCTTCTTCCCTCACCCCCTCCTGCTGCCTGGCTCTCACCTGTGCCGGGCCCTAGTTTGGGAAAAGCAGGGTGGCCTGCACTCCTGGACCCAGCCATGCCCCAGCAGCCCTCTAAGACCAGGCTGATGGACCTCTGTCACCTGGGAGGGACAGTAGGATAGGTGGGAACTGGAGAGAAAGGAGCCAGAGAAAACTGCCAGGTGCCTTGGGCAACACCGACTTCCAGGCTTCCTTGTTCCTGTCCCCAGGGCCACTGGGAAGGGGCAGAGAGCCAGGTCAGTGCCTGAAGGACTGGGAGGGGATCTCCAAGAAGCGGCTGTGTGGTGGAGATTGAGCTGAGGGCCTCAGGGTGGGGGCCAAGGAATTTATACCAAAAAGCTCCCCAGGAAAGAGTTATACCTCCCGCCACCACAGAAGCCCAGGACTGGTGGCCTCACATCCAGAGGCAGAAAGGGGTGGGGAGCAGGGCCTGGCCGGAAGTGGGGTCCCAGACCCCATGAGGGCAAGTGGAGGGGTAAAGAGAGATCAGGCCAAGAGCAGCCCAGTGAGGGACTGCGGACCCCAAGTGCTTCCAGGCAGGCTCGGGGCGCAGAGCTGTGCTTTTTCCTGCCACTCGCTGGGATTCTGGAGATCTGTGGTTCGTTCCTCACCCTAAGGCACCTGCATGGCAGCCTCCTCACCCCAACCCAGAGCGGAGCCCTGCATGCAGAAGTTGGGGTTCATTCCCTCTAGGGAGACTGTGGAATGGAGGCTGCAGCAGGAGCCAGACCAGCAGTGGATTAGACCAGATGTGGGCTTCCAATTTGGGAACAGAAGTGCCACCCTGTGATATTAAGCAAATAGCTGTCCTTCCTGGATGCACACTTTCTTCTGTAAAACGGGGACAAGTCGAGATTGTCAGGAGGCCTTAGGTAGCCTCTCCGGACATGGCAAAGAAATTTCAAGAGGACCTGGGCACGTTTGGATCCCAGACCAGCAGCAGACTTGTTAGTGTAACTGCTCAGTGTCACGCAGGTGCTATCAGTACCACAAATTGCTTTCTCTGGCTCTGAATTCAAATCCAGCTGGGAGCTGTTTGGGCCTCACATGGACAGCAGGAGCTGGGCAGGGCCTGTGCAGCTCAGTGCCCAGGGCGTGCATGGGCTCGCTCTGGGGTCCAGCTCAGCTCCCTCTCTCTGCTGTGATACACTGTCCCCGCTCCTCTAGTCCCTGGCCCCGCAGTTCCCAGATCTGTTTTAATGGACACTGTGAGAGGGCCAGGCCTGGCTACAGCCTCAGGACTCTGCAGGGCTCCTCTTACCTTGGCGGCACCGGCCACTGCCAAGCAGCAGGCCAGGCCCACGATGGCCAGCAGCACTCGCCCCATTCTGAGCATCACCTCTGCTGGCCTTCCCCCATGCCTCAGGTATTTATGGAGCAGGGGCCAAGGTCACGACCATGCACAAGCACAAGCTCAAACACTGCTGGGAACAGGTGAGAGGCCAGGCCCCTTTCCCAGGGAGGGCTGCTCCCAGGCCACAGGGCACCTGTGTAGGTTACCGCCCACCTGGGAGCAGAGGCAGGTGGCATGGACATGACCAGTTATGGGGTGTCCTGTGTCTGGTTCAGAAGCCAGGGCTGGAGGCCACCTCCAAAATCCAAGCCAGCCTTGTCCCTGAGGCCTCACCACCCCCTAGGGCAGCACGGGGAGCCGATGGGGCCAAGCGTGTGACTCAGGGCAGATGGCTGCCCGCTCCTGGGCTGTGGCACAGGGCTGACTCCTCATCCCAGAGCTCTGACCTCAGCCTGGTGGGCACTGTGTGCTGGGAGCAGCATGGGCCAGGAGAGGGGACAAGAGGCTCCGGTGGGTGTGGAGCAGGCAAGGGGCTGTGGCCCAGCCTGGAAGCTGGCGCTGAGGAGAGCCCGGAGCAAGGAGCCGGGGGCACAGCAGGCCGAGGTAGGGGATGGGCACAGAGGTGAGGGGCGGCGTGAAGCCAGCACTGTGGAGGCCGCCTGGTGCTCTGGTCACAGTGTCACTCAGAAAGCCCCAAAAGGTCATCCAGTGAGAATCCACCATGAGCCAAGTATAAGTATCAAGTGTGCTCCTTTTGGGAGCTGGTGGACTAGAGGGTCACCTCTCTGCAGACACCCCAGGTCCTCAGCTGCACAGCCTCCTTTAGTGGTAGGGACAGTGGTCGGCCAGAGGCCACCCAGGCCCAAGGCCCCTCAGGTTGGGCCCCACAAGCCTCTGCACCATCAGGCACCAGAGCCTCCAGCATGGCCACGGCGCCCTGTGCCACCCTGCAGGCCCCACCCAGATTCAGGGCTTCACCCTGCACAAGGGCGGCCAGGCTCGGGGGACAGCTGGGGAGGTGGGGGGAGGGTGACAGAGAAAGGCAAAAAGAGACCCTGCTTTTCAGGATCATTGGCCTTTTAATGTGTCATCCTGAAAAGAAGAAGTCTTTTCAGATGCTGTGGTTTTCCTGTAGAGGCCTCCTCTTCCTTGGCTACACTAACTTCTAAGTATTTAATCTTTCGTGGTGCTATTGCCAATAGTATTTTTCTCTCATTTCTGCCTCTGTGGGTTCATTTCCAATGGATGGAACGCTACAGAGTGCTGTGTGCTGAATACTTTGTGCCCTGGTACATTCTAAATTGGATCATTCCTCTGCTGCTCCAAGAGCCTCTTCGTGGATTTGAGGGCTCTTCGATGAAGATTGTGTCAGCTGCCAGTCACAGGGCTTGGCTTCAGCCTTCTTACTCCTTTTCTGGGCTGACTGCTTTTTCTAATGTTTCCCATACAGCGTTGAAGAGGACCAGTGAGAGTGGACATACTTGTCTTGTTTCTGATTTTAGAGGGAAAGCTTTTAGTTATTCCCCATTGCATAGGATGTTGACAATAGGTTTCTCATAAAAGGGTTTTATGATTGAGATATCACCCACCTCCACTAAATTCCTTTTTTTTTTTTTTTTTTAATCACAAAAGGATGGTGAGTTATTTCTTTGTTTGGCACGGGGGATTGAACTCAAGGCCTCATGTTTGCCAGGCAGGCCGCTGAGCTAAACCCTGAGTGGTGGATTTTGTCAAGTGTGTTTTCTTCATCTGTTGAGATGATCATGTGATTTTCTCTTTGCTTCTGCTTATGTCATATAGTCCATTTATCACTTCAGTTAGGTTGAACCATCCTTGCATACCTGGGACGAAGCCTTCGTGGTCACAATATCTGGTCTTTTTGATGATTTGTTGCATTCTGTTTGCTGGTATCTTTTTTTTTTAAGAATCATTTTATTTTTTTATTTTATTATATTTTATTTTGGAATCAAGGTAATGAAAGCTTGTAGGAATGACCTTGAGAGTATTCCTTCCCTTTCAATTTCATTCAAAAACTGGGGGGGCACCTGCCTGACAAGTGCAAGGTTCTGAATTCAATTTCCGGTACCAAAAAAAAAAAAAAGAAAGAAAGAAAAAAAGAAAGAAGGAAAGAAAAAGAAAAAGAAAACTTCCAGGAGAACTGGTGTTAGAATCCTTGACGCTTTGTAGAATTCAGCAGCAAACCTGTCCAGACCTGGACTCTTTTTGGTAGGTTACTGATTACCACTTCAATTTCATTGTTGATATTTAATTAGCCGGGAATTTTAAGTCTTTTTTATTCAGTTTTAGTAATCCACATGCCTCTGGGAATCTATCTGCATCTTTTGAATCCTCTGGTTTATTGGTGGAGGTTTGCGGTTGCAGTGAATCATTTTTGGGTTTATTTACTTATTTATTTATTTTGGCTATGTCCACTGTGATTTCACCTTTTTCATTCCCAGTTGCATGGATTTGACTCTTTTCACTATTTTTTAAAACTTATTTCATTTTTATTTTAAAGGGAGTAAAATTAAACACAACAAAATAGGATATAAGAAAGCAATGTAAGAAATATAAATTTCAACGCTAGACAACCTGAAATCTTCATATTGTCTATCATATTCACTGTCTATCATATTGTCTCTTGTTTTCTTCCAAATAGTTGTCCATGTCTTCACATACCGAGAATTCATACAAAACAACGTAGTATAAAACTAATCCGAACAGAATGAGGAAGGCGTTTTAGGTCTTCAAAACCAGACAATCAGGAAGTCACTAATGGCTGTCGTACAATCCCTCATTCTCTTCAAAATAGCTGTCCATACTTTCATGTAGATTGAAGCTCAACAAAACAAAACAGGCGGTGGGGAGGGGCTGCTTGGTTTTCCAGCGTGCCAGGTCCCAGCATGGCTCGGGTACTAGTAAATGCCAGTGGCTCCTGTCCTGGGCCGCCGCCTGCCACACTCACAGCTGCTCCCGAGGGTGGGGGTTGCTTCAAGCTGTTTCTTTCTAATGAATTGACCATTTCACTGCCTAAGTTCTGAAATGGCCAACAGACCATAGAAAGACATTTCTTTAATGATGCTGCTTAAAACCAGCAGCATCAGGAAGCTGCTGGCCTTGATTCAGGGCCAATTCTGTCCTATAAAAAAAAATTTTTTTTTGGTTACATCAGATAAACTTTTGTCTACCTTATTTTGTTTGTTTTGCTTTGTTTTGTTTTTTTTGTGAAAAAGCAACTCTTAAAATCCTTAATTCTTTGTTTTGTTTTTTATGTCAGTCTCACGGAAGTCTGCTCTGATTTTTCTAACACTCTTCCTTGTACAGCCTTTGGGTTTGTCACTCTGGTGTTTTTAGGACCCTGCAGTGCATCCCTCGCTTATGGATGTGGAGTCCTCCTGCTGTTGCCACATGAGCATTCACAGCTATAAACTGCTCTCTTGGGACTGCTTTCTCCGTGTCCCTTAAGTTCTGCTGTGTGCACGGGCACTGTCATTTAGTCTTAGACACTGTCTCATTTCTTCCTCTATTTCCTCTGCAACCCTTGTTTATTAAGAGTGTGTTGTTGGCTGGGGATTTAGCTCAGTGGCATAAGCGCCTGCCTGGCAAGTACAAGGTTCTGAGTTTGATCCTCGTTCCAAAAAAAAGTGTATTTGCATAATTTCCATGTTTTCTTTTGATGCTGATTCCTCACTGCATCACACTATGGTCTGATAAGATGTATGGCATAATTTCAACTCTTTTAGATTCATTTATAATGTAAAAGCATTTTATTAGCTGGTACATGAGCTATTTGGGAGAAAGTGCCATGTCCAGCTGAGAAGAATATGTATCCTGTAGTAGTTGGGTGGGAAGCTATGCAGATATCTATTAGATCTATTCGTTCGGAGGTTTTGCTCAAACCTGGCATTTCTTTGTTTTTGTGTTTGTTTGTCTAGATGATCTGTGTGTTTCAGTGGGGTGTTGAGGCCCCTTCCTATAATTGTCATTGTGTTTATCTGAACCCTTACGTCCAGTAGCACTTGTCATAGGAAGTTAGGTGCACTGTTGTCCAGTGTATAGACACTAATCTTGTTAGCCCCCTCTTTGGGGCAGTTTAATTGATTAAGGTGACGTTCTTTGTCCCTTTCAGTCAGTTATGGCTTGGAGTAGACTTTGTCTAAATTTAAAATAGCTACACAGGCTTTTTTTCGAGGTTCTATGATGTGGAATATTGTTTTCCATCTTTAATTTCTGGTCTATGAGTTCCTTTTTGGGTTATATGTGTTCCATGTGAATTTTGTTTCTTGGCCCGTTCTGCCAGTCTGTCTTTTGATTGGAGAAATGAGACCACTCACACTGAGAGGTGTTCCCAGGAGGTTCTGACCTACTCCTGCCTCCTTCCCCTGCTGCTGATTGTGTTCCCTTTTACCTAACTGCTTGCCCGCTTTGACATGCTGATTCTCATAGACTTGTTAGTTGTCAGCTTTTATACCAACTCTTTCTAGGGTATTCTTGAGAATGTTGCGAGCGCTGGTTTGGTGGTCTTGAATTTCTTTAGGTGCTCTTGATCATGAAAGTATTTTATTTCTCTGTCAATTTTGAAATGATTCTGCAAGAAATATCAGCCTGGTTGGAAATTATTTTCTTTTAGGGCTTGAAACATTTCACTCCAAGCTTTCTTTGCCTTTAAGGTTTGTGTGGCAGACACTGCTATAATTCTGGAGTTTCCCTTCCTAAGTGATGCTTGCTCTTCTCCAAGAGCTTTCTGGATTCTGTTCTTGTGTGAACACCTGAGATTCGGACCGTGACGTATTATACCGAGGTTTTCTGGTTGTGGCATTGGGGTTGTATATACCTCACTTTTCTGTGTGTTAAATTCCTTGATCTTATTTGGAAAGTTTTTGTCTATTATTTCCAAAAACAGTTTTATTTCCCTTTTAATGTCATTTGCGTTCTTGCCTTGTTTTGAAAATATTTCTAGTCAGTCTTCCCTCAGTCTTCATCTAGGAGCTGCTGGGTCCATTTTCCAGGGTCTCTGGTTGTTTTGCTGGTCTGTGTCATTAACTGGCAGTGGCGCCAGTGCTGTCTCTGGTCCTGTCCTCACTGGTCCCATAGCATTTTTAGTCTCCGGACTTTCTCTTCGAAGCCGCTGTATGGACTCGTTGTCTTCTGTCCTGGTCAGGCATGGTCGGGGGCTCCTGTTCTTTAGTCTTTTCCCAGCGTCTTCTATAGGCTGATGGTTTTCTTTAGTTTAGTGCTTCTTACATCTGCTGTGACCCTGTCGAATGCCTCACCGAACCTCGGCTGCTGTCCTTGGGAATGATTTTGGTTCCTTCTCCTGTGAGGGCCGCTGGAGCTGGGGAGGTGTCCTGTTGGCTTCTGTGCCTGTGTTTCCGTTGCTGTGTGTCTGTCTCATGTTGAGCCTTGGAGGCTCATTGTAGGAAAAATGAAGGTTGACAAGTTCTAAGCACTAATGCAATGTGTATCTACTTTTAAAATGTTTACTTTAGGCTCTGTGTGTGTGTGTGTGGTGTGTGTGTGTTACCAGGAATGGAACCCTGGATTTTCGTACTGACATCCATTCCCAGCCCTCTTGAGGGGGATTTGTTAGTTTGTTTTGTGATAGTATTGTACTAACACACTGAATTCTCCTGCTGCTCTCAAACATGGTACCTTCCTGCATCGGCCTTCCAGAGTGCTGACACCGTAGGTGTGCACAGCCATGCCTGGGTCTCACTGACTTTCCCAACAGGCCTCTGATTTGTAATTCTCCTTCCTCGGCCTCCAAGGGGCTAGGATTATACCCTCTCCTCTATGTTATATGAATTTTTATACAATTTTTAAAATTATCATTTGCCATGGACGCTTCAGGACACAAGTCGGTAACTGTCTTCCCACAGCTTTGGAGAAAAGGCTCAGCCTGTGCTGTGTCAGGAGGTCTCTGATTGCCAAGTAAGAACATGCGGATTCCAAGCCATAGTTAGGGATTCAGCCCTAAGTAAGGAAAACTGCAGAGAGATGAGACACACATGAGGAGAGAAAGCCTGAGGAAGACGCCAGCCTGGGAACCAGCAGGACTCTGCTGTCTCCATCCCTGTCCCTCAGAGGAGCTGTGATCTCCCTGTCCCTTAGATGGAGCCCTGCAGGAACCCTTGCAGCCTGCCCAGCCTCAGACCACTCCCCCTGCTGGTTCCCTGTCCTTGCGGACCTGAGATGCAGCTGCTAAGGCTGCAGTGGGCCAGGGCAAAAGTGTTCTGCCTCTAGAGCCGGGCTCTTGCTTCCCTTGATCCTTCTACCCACGAGCCCACCCACGGTGCCCCAGCTGGCCTTGCCACTCCACCAGAGGCCTGGTGGCCATGCATCCCGCTAAGACCTCTGGGTGAGGCTGAGGGGGGTCATCGGGATCAGAGCGCTGATTCCTGTCAGCAAAGACGCTGGCCCCAGTTGCTCCCGACAGGGCTCTAGGCCCTCTTCCCTACAATGAGGACAGTGTCATGTACCTGCTGGCGTCTGAGGACCGGCCAGGAGGATGGGGTGACGTGGACCGAGAGCCTGTTGCTGTTAAGAATTACCTATGGCCTCTCCTTCCCATAGCCCTGTCATGGAGCCAGGACAGAGGGCAGTGCAGAGTTGGGTTTTATTTAGGGAGAGTTGGAGAGAGGACTGCACCTAGGGAACCAACACCATGGCCATGTGGGACCAGAAACGAGCACTAGAAACCAAAGGCTGCAGTCATCTGAGATGCTCAGGAGTCATCTGCAGGGGACATGAGGGCAGCTTCAGAGTCACCCACAGGGAGCACCATCAGTCCTCATGGGCAGTGCCCAGGAGGCTAGGGTCCTCAGGGGCTGCTTCATGGAGTCACTGCCCATCGTACTGGTGACGTCCAGGTAGTTGCCATCCTCCATGGTGTAGGGTACCAGTGTGCGGGCACCACAGAGTGGCCCACGGTCGGGACCCTGCAGAGTGAGGGGTGCTAAGGCTTGAGGATGTTAAGTATCCTGTCCAACATCTCCCTGCTGTCATACGAGGGAAGTGGACTAGAACCCAGGGGCTGCAGGGCCTGGGTGGAGGGGCCACTGTGCCTGCTGCCCTGGCCCCCAGGCTTGTGTCCACGCCTTACCCACTTCTGGCAAAGTTGGTCCAGTGGGTGATCATGGCCTTGGACACAGTCCTGTCTGGGGCAGAGAGGTAGAAAAGGGTTTACGTGGACAGAGGTGAGCTCTGCAGCGTGGTTACACCCAGCTGTGCGGGGAGCCAGGCTCCCAAGAGGACACAGAGAAGAGGCAGGCGGAGGTCCTGGCACTCCTGATGGGAGGAGACATGGGCGGGGCTGGAGCTGACTCCCCAAGAGGCTGCCCAGCCACAGATGGGCTCTCAGGGAAGCTGGGGAGCAGGGAGAGGCCTGGCAGTCCCCACCAAGACTCACAGGGAAACGGGGCCTCCTACACCCGGGGAGAGGAAAGCGTGGCGGGGGGGGGGGGGGCAACCCCCAAGATGCTGTAATCTCACTCGTTTCCTGACCTCAGAGAATAAAACTCTCCCAGCTGCCAAGCGACCACGGCTCGGAACAGGGGCAGGCACCTTCCTCCCGAGACTTGGTGTCCCTAAGCTCTCTGTCCTCCAGGTGCGTTTGCACGCCTCCTTTCCCTGGACAGGACGGGGGCCCTCATCTGCCTCCCTTCCTGCCTTGACCATGGGACGCTCAGGCTCCGTTCATTGCTTGGCCTGCCACAGCTGGCCAGTGCAGTGTCCAGGACACCGCCCCCAAGAAATCACCCTCTCCCCAGACCCTCACTTGGCATTGGCGCTGTGCTGGGCATCAGAAAGAGGATGTCAGTTTCCAGGTCCACCACCGTCTTCTTCTTGGTCTCCTGGGACGAATCCTGAGCCCAAGAGCGGGACAGTGATGACCCCAGTGCCTGGCCCGTATCTCCCACTCAATCCTCCGTCGGTGCCCTGTGCAGTGGGCACCCTTCCCCTGCCAAGGGACAAATGGTGGAGCCCCCTACCCTGGCCTGTGAACCAATTGCAGGGATTTTCTGCTTGGCAGCCCCCTCCCATCACCCAGTGCAGGGCCACGGCTCTGGCCTGGGGGTTCCCACTGGGTGCAGGGCCAGACCTTACTTTCTGCCCTGTGGGACCCAGATATGGAGGTAGAGGCAGTCTTGGTCCTCATGAGAGCTGTCATAGGTGGTAGTGTCTTGTGGGCATTCCTCCTTGAAGTCTGTGGCCTACAGGATCCTGGCAGGGAGCAAGAACAGATGGCATGAGGGTTCAGCTTCCCTCACCACCCACCGAGGGGCACCCAGCAGCCCTGTGTGTCCTCACCTTACCAGCCAGGGTGATGCTCTGGGTTCTCCAGGGTCTTGGTGGTAGTGAAGGGAATGCCCTTGAAGATGTCCACAGAGTTGTCACCTAGAAAACTGAGCCTCTTATTGACATCTTCCATGAATCCTCCTTCCATGTACACGACACCCAGCTGCAGGGAGACATGGCAGGGTCAGGGGGCCTTGTCCAGGGTGGCCTGAATCCTGAGTGGTGGCCAGAGCAGGCTCCAGGGTGCCGAGGCCCTCCCAGAGACAGTGTCAGAGGGGGAGACAAGGCCAGCTGGCCACTTGTCCAGGGTGGGGGGGGGCTGGCTTCCTGGGCCCACACCCCACCCCTGATTCCTGGTCATTGCATCCCATGCTAGTGTCTTGCTTCCTGGTTCTAGAGGAAGCTGGGCCAACCCATGTTCTCAGTAAGCAAAGTGGAGGCCTCTGCCCAGCTGGGGCTGGTGGGGCTTGGCCCCCAACTCTACCATCTCCACGTGGATGCTGGCGATAGAGAGAAATGGCAAATGTGCATGTAGGCTGAAATCGATGGTGCAGCCTCCGGACCTCAGCCCTCAGAGCAGCCCTGCACACAGAGGGTGGGGCTCCCTCTCTCTAAGAGGATCATGGGAAGGAGGCTGCAGCAGGAACCAGGCCCGGTCTTGTCCTTAGCAGGTCTCAGGTCCCAGTTTGGGAAGGGAAGTGGCTGCTCTGTGATGCTGGGCAAATTGCTTCTCTGCCTTGGGCATCTGCTTCCTTCTGTAAAATGGGAACAAGTTGAGATCCTCGAGGCTTCGTAGAAAAATCCATCAGACATGGCGAGAAGGACATCTTGGGTTCCAGCACACTTGGCATTTCACTCAGGGCAGATATTTTTGTGTGACTGTTCCACATATTGCATGGGAGGTGTGAATCCTACACACTTCTTTCGTTGACTCTGAATTCAAATCCAGCTGGAAGCTATCTGGGCCTCACATGAATGGCAGGAGCCGGGCAGGGCCTGTGCAGCTCAGTGCCCAGGGTGTACATGGGCTCGCTTTGAGGTCCAGCTCCCTGCCTCTGCTGTGATGCACTGTCCTCCCTCCTCCGGGCCCTGGCCCCTAGTTCCTAGATCTGTTTCAGTGGACACAGTGAGAGGGCCAGGCCTGGCCACAGCCCTGGGCCTCTGCAGGGCTCCTCTTACCTTGGCGGCACCGGCCACTGCCAAGCAGCAGGCCAGGCCCACGATGGCCAGCAGCACTCGCCCCATTCTGAACATCACCTCTGCTGGCCTTCCCCCATGCCCCGGGTATTTATGGAGCAGGGGGCCAAAGTCTCACCCATGCACAGGCACAAGCTCAGCATCAAACACTGCTGGGAACAGGTGAGAGGCCAGGCCCTTTTCCCAGGAACGGGCTGCTCCCAGGGCCACAGGGCACCTGTGCAGGTTACCACCCACCTGGGAGCAGGGGCAGGTGGCATGGGACGTGGCTGGGTACGGGGTGTCCTGTGTCTGGCTCAGAAGCCAGGGCTGGAGGCCACCTCCAGAATCCAGGCTGGCCTTGTCCCTGAGACCTCACCACCCCCTAGGGCTGCACAGTGTGTGCCTCGGGGCAGATGTCTGCCTGCTCCTGGGCTCTGGCACGGAGCTGACTCCTCGGCCTGGGAGCGCTGACCTCAGCCCCTGGTGGGCACTGTGTGCTGGGAGCAGCATAGGCCAGGAGAGGGGACAAGAGGCTCCGGTGGATGTTCAGCAGGCAAGGGGCTATGGCTTAGCCTGGAAGCTGGCGCTGAGGAGAGCCCAGCAGTAGCCAGGCCCGGAGCAAGGAGCCGGGGGCTCAGCTGGCTGAGGGAAGAGGATGGGCACAGAGGTGAGGGGTGGTGTGATTTTTTTCGTGTGTGTGTGTCTGTGTGTGTGTGTGTGTGTGTGTGTGTGTGTGTGTGTGGTGGATCCCAGGGCCTTGGACAAATCTCCAGTCCTTTACATTTTTAAAAAAGTTTTTTGATAGGTTCTTCCTATATTTACTAAGTTTCCCAGGCTGGACTCAAACATTGGATCCTCCTGCTTCGGTCTTGCAGAGCACTGTGATTACAGGCACTGGCTACCACATCTTGCTACTTAATGTACTTTTATTTTGAAAACCTTACATGTATGTTATAGGAGAAAGATAATCGTTACAGCGGTATCATCAGCAATCAAGACTTTTTTGTCATAAGTAGCAAGAAATAAATTTTACATTTATTTATTTTACATCAGCAGTAAAACCTATAGTCATATATTTCACTTGGGAAATATAGTTATGAACTCCATTTTTTTTGTCCCTGTTAACTACATAAACATCTTCAAAGCTGGACATGGTGGACCCCCATAATCCCAGCACTCAGGAGTCTGAAGCAGAAGGATCACTGTAAGTTCAAGACCTGCATAGTGAGACCTTGTCTCAAAAAGACAAAGGAAAAAAAACCCAACCAACTAAATGAACATTTTCAGTTTGGTATATTCAAAAGCCCTGGCAGGAAAGACACATGACCTTTAGTGTCCAGCATTGTGGTGCAGAACTGGAGTATCCCTGGTCCCATGCTGAGGTGTGGTCACCAGCCCATGGCACTCGTGGGCAGTTAGGGCACGGTTGGAAGGCAGCACCTTGCAGAGGTTAGGCCACCGCGGTCGCCCTCAGAGCAGATGTTAGAACCCAGGCTTCCCCTCTCCTCACTTCCAGGCCACCACAGGCCCAAACTGTCCATGGACCCAAGCCTCCCTTCTGGGGTCCCAAGCCAGCCCTTGAGTGTCCCAGGTATTTTTGTCACAGTGATGGAAAGCCAACATTCAAAGAAGGCCCACGGCAGACCTGGCTGGCAGCCTGGGGCAGGAACTGCACGGCAGGAGCCTGGGCAGCCACATGGCCAAGAAAGAAGGGAGACAGGAGCTGAGGGCTGTGTCCAAAGCCTTCGGGAGCTGCCCTGGGGCCACCACAGCCAACAACAGACAAAGTGGCCCTCGAGGAGCACCTTACAGCTGACTGAGACATGTTTCAGCATGGTCTGAGCTGGCGAGGGCGAGCCTCACTGCTGGCCACGCAGGGTAGGACCTGGAATTGTTCGGTTTTGCCATGGCCTGGACGCAGAGCCATACCACCTCTGGGTTCTTTGCTTTCTTCTGTATGGCGGTCAGTAAATGAGGAGGAGCTGTTCGGCACTTTGTGAACTTTGGGTCCAGTGGTTTTTGCCCAATCCTGGACTAACACAAGTGCTCAGAGTAGGCTCCAGGTGCGCAAGGCCAGGAGTAGTAAACGCATTTTCCACAGATAATGTTTCGCCTTACGAGATTACTAGAAGGATACAAATGCCCTGTTCCCCGAGGAACAGCTGCACTTTGAAAAAAGGTGCAGTTCTTGTGAGGATACTCAGGACTTCTATGCGTGTTTGACAGTTTTAATAATGAAAAGCTTTTATTGAAAAGGGGGGTTTCTGGGAGAGGAATCATGGTGCTTTTTACGACCCAGCTAGACCTTGGGAAGCCCTTGCAGCCTGGGCTCCGGGTGGGTGAGGCCTGGCTGCAGGGGGTGAGGGGAGCCCCGCCTGGGCACCTCCCTCAGATGTGCAGAGACCAAGGCCACCAGTGTTCCAGCCCTGCCACAAGAAGGGGTTTCCCAGGAACCCAGCCAGCAGGAAGGGGCTGGCCTGAGGTCCTTGTACTGAGCTACCTGGGGGGGTCACACACAGAATGGGGCTGATGACCCATCTGTGGCTCGGTACCCTGCTGCCCCCAGGCTCTGGAGGGCACTGTACAGAGGTAGGTGCCAGGGAGGCGGGCGTGGCAGGGACAGGAGAGTCTCTGCTTCCATGCCAGGAGGAACAGGTCACCAGAAACTGCTTCCAGGGACCCAAGTGTCCATTCGGGGAAGTCAGGCACGAGTGCGTCCTTGTCTCATCCAGCTAGAGAGGCACATGGGCCTCGCCCCCAAACAAGGAAAGGAGCAACGGAGGTGCTGCGGGAACCCCAAAGCAGGGGAAACTCCCCGAACCTTGTCCCAGGACACCAAGACTCCCTGCAAGACTGATTTAGTAGGACAATTCTGGCTGGGCCGAGCCTTTACAGCATGACCCCAAACCGGGGATTATCCTTGGCCATTGGTGACCATGGACCAGGTTCCTCGTGGCATAGAGATGCCACCAGAGTCACAAGACCCAGCCAAGATGGCCCTGCCACACACTGTGCCATCTCCGCCTCTGGCTCTGGGTAGGCTCAGCCTGAGAGGCCTTGAGCCCAGGCAGGGTGCAGAAGCATGGAGCCAGGATGTCCCCAGCCATGCAGAGGGCAGAACTGAGCAGCAGGTCACAGCTAGGCCCAGGGCCTGCTCTGCCAGAACCTGGGCTTTCTCTAAGGGCCACTCTCACCATGGTGGCTGGCAGTGGGGACCGTGTATTCCCTGATCCCTCACAGTGGGAGCTGGACACTGGTCTCGCCTTGTCAGCCTGAGGGGCCAGGGCCTGGTCAGACGTAGTCCAGAATCTCCGTCTCCATCTCATTGTCGCTCCCATCTGAGGCCTTGAAGTCTTCCTCTTCCTCCTCTTCCTCCTCCTCCTCTTCCTCCTCTTCCCCAGACTCAAACATCAGCGGTTGTTTTGCACGTTCAGTTTTAGTTGGGCTGGAGAAGAGAGCTGGGCCAGGAAGAAATAAGATTGTGGGTGCCCCGGTGCAGGGTTTCACAGTGGCCCCCAAACAGGCTGGAAAAACTGCCCCCGGTAAGTGAGGTAAGGAAGGGAGGCCTGGCCTCAGACTGCAGCCACTGCCCCCTGTACACCGCCTGTCTCAGACCCCAGGACTCAGGGCCCCAACTCCCATGCCAGGCTGCCTCGGTGGGCAACCAGGATGTGGCCACTGGGCTAGGCCAGGCTCTCAAGGCCTCCCACCCATGGAAGGCAATGCAGGAGGATCTGCCGGGAACCTCTTTCAGGAGCAAGCTCCTGGCCTCCCTCGCCCAGTGTGGCTCTCACCTGGCCTCTTGGAGCGGATGGTCTGCCGGATCATGAGGGACATGGTGTCCCGCAGGTCATCACTGGTCTTAGTGAGGCACCACCCATCCCGCTCTGTGCACAGAGTCTCCATCCCGTCATTACGGTGGATGATCCTCTGCAGCCTGCGGGCAGGGGCTGGCATGAGAGCTGAAGTTCCAGGGCAGCCTGGCCCATGGGAGCCAGTGGGTAGTCGGGGCAGAGGTGGTACAGTGCTGACAGAAATGGCGCTCAGAGGGAAGTCTTGGAGGGAGCGGGCAGTCCCAGCTGGCTCCTTGGGACCTCAAACCGCATACCAAGCCAGGTGTCACCAAGCATACCTTTCTGGAGACAGTCACTGCCTAACCCAGATGTCAAGCCACACAGGACGGGCCACCCTGACCTCCTGTCCTGATGGCTGAGCCTCCAATTCTTTAAGCATCACTAAGAACAAGTGGACAAAAGGTTTCCAGGATCCTGCTCAGCTGAGGGAAGTGAGTTTTGGACCCTTGTGTGAGCAAAGGTGCCATGGTAACCTGGGTCCCTGCAGCCACCGGGGCTGGTTCCTACAGGGGACACTGGGGGCCCAGGTCCTCCACACACAGAAGCACCACTGGTGCCACACTGCTGCCATGACCCAAAAGAGCTGCAGAAACCATGGTCCTGACCACTTCCCAGTGCTGCCTGGAGCCTAGGCTCCGCCCCGTGGCCCAGGCCCCCCAGGTACGTACTCTTCCACGTTCAGGTCACACAGCTGGTAGAACATCTGGCGATAGGGCGGCAGGGCGCCATCCCGGAAGATGTAGACTGAGTCCTGGGGAGGACAGAATAGGGTTAGCCAGGGCCGAGGCAGGCTGTGTTGGAAAGCCCCTTGATGTGGGCTCCCGTGGGGGCCTAAGGAGTTGGTTGTTACCAGGACTGGGGCAGGAATGGAGACCCAGGCTGGTGACCAGATGTGGAAGAAGTGAGCTATGACTCCCCGGGAGGCCAGGGAAGGGAGATGGGGAAGCTGGGACTTAGGGGGCCTCTGGGCAGCCCACCCACATTCCCCTGCACGCTGCCTTGACAGCTTTTCTTGGAGGAAGGCACGGTTTAAAAGGGGTCTGTTTTCTCTTTCCCCATCCAGCACCTGGTTCCAGAGGCAGCCCAGGCTCTGTGACGGCACCCTTGAGAAGACAGCTCACTGGGGCTGCCAAGCCACCTGGCTCTGCAGGAGCCAAGGTCTGTGAAGCCTGGAGGAGCGGCCCCTAGGCCACCAAGCAGCTAGGGCATGGCCACATCCCTCCTATCACCTATCCTCACAATGTCTGCGCTCTGAGGTGGTGGGGGTTCTGTGTGTGGAGGGGGGTAGTGGCTCAGGGATACATCTCCTCTGGGCTGTGGGACAGCACAGAGCCCAAGTTGGGAAGGTACTGGGAAGTGCTGCCTACAGCTGGGTGATGCACAGGCAAAGCTGAGCCCATGAGGGTCCATTCCAGCACCCCCACAGCCTCCAGCTGCACCCCAGATGCTCTGCTTTGGCTCTGAGCCCACATGCACGCCCATCATCCCAGTGGTGGATTCGAGGCCTGGGCTCAGGAGGGGCAGCGCATGCGGCTGCTGGTGCCAGATCCCCTGTGCAAGTCCCATCACCACCCTTAGCTCAAGTGACCCTCAGTCTCCACAACCCCAGGGTTCACGGCACCCCGTGTTCCCTGTGTTTCTGGGAGCCCCTATGGTGGGTGGGGCACAAAGGTGCTGAGTGGTCCCTCCAGACTCACCCTCACCTCAGCCTCCAAGCTCACCCAGGCCCGCACCCTGGGCTCCTGGAGCACCCACCTTGAGCTTGTACTTGTTGGAGATCAGTTTCCGGGTGCTGGCCACCCCCGACGGACCCAGGCCCTGCTTCAGGTCATGCATGCTGATGAGCTGGGTGGCTGGGTGAGGCAAGGGCAGTGCTTTGGTGAAGGGGGGTGGGAACCCCATTTTCCTGCACCCCGCTCTCTCCACAGCCAGCAGGAATGGCCAGCAGGGCCCCAAAGGCACCTCCTGCCTTGCCGCCCACCCTTGCCACGGGGTCCCTCCTGTTGCACGGGCCGGGGCGCTTACGCGTCTTCTTCACGGTGATGGGGAGGCTGTAGTTATAGGTGCTGCGCTTGGCTTTGACAGGCATGTCACTGGAGCCGAAACCTGCAAGCGGGCAGGAGTGGCGGAGCTGGTACCTGGCTCCTGCAATGTCTCTCGAAGGAGGGGCGCCAGCCACCCAGGCTGGGAGCAGACACCACACAAGTGTGAGTGTGTGTATGCATGTGTATGCACATGTGTGTGTCTGCATGCCTGCACATGTGTGCGCGTGTGTGGCCTCACTGTGGTCCTGGGGTGATGGCACATAGCAGGGCCTGCCTCGTGTTCCTAGATCACAGGCGGCCACCCACAGCACAGCCACAACTGTGCTGGGACCTTCATTTCTGTGCTCCCATGGCCCACAGAGTCTCCCAGACTCACATTAACCCTCTGATTATAAAGAGACCTGGAAATGGGAAGACACGAGGACAAAAAGCAAAGCCCCTCGCAGTCCTACCGTACTTCATTCCACAGCGGATTCGGAAATCAAGGACTTGGTAAATCTTGGCCTCTGGGTGTTTTCGGGGGTCATAGCCAAATCGAATCCACAGGCTTCTCCAGGGGCCTGTGATCTGGGGACAGGAAAAGTGCACTGAGAGCCAGCGCCAAGGCCAGGTCCCCCTGTGCTGGGCCAGGGCCAAGCCCCACCAGGAGGCAGCAGAGTCCCAAGAGCAGGGACACCCTGGAGGGGAGGGGCGAGACCAGATGCCTCTACCATGGCACCAGGGACCATATCACTGCTGTCCTTACAGATCAGATGTCTCCGGTCCCCCAGTGGTGCCTCTGAAGGACTTACGTCTAAGGGCGAAGCTATGTGGCACTAGGTGGTCCTCTGGAGTCCCACAGAACTCTGGCCCCTGCCAACTGTCATCTGCCCTCATGGTCTCATATTATGCAGGCTCCCCGTTCCATGGCACCCTCCTCAGCAGCCAGGCTCTCCTCTGCAGGATATCTAGGCACCTCCGCAGAGCCCCCAGTCCCTGCTCTCCTCCTGGCCTGGGTCAAAGTGGAAGCTGACAGGGAAGTCAGGCTCTGAGATCAAGCAGGCTGGAGCCCAGGTGGCCCTGCCACTCGCCAGCTGCCAATCTGTGGTGTGACATGTCCTCTGGACTCGGGCTTGTCCTCAAAAACAGGAAGGGACCTCTGCTGCCACCTCTAGGGAGGAGCAGAGGGTGTGAGGTGTGGTCTTGCCCACTGGCTGGTCCTGGACAAGGCCTCCCCCGGCCTCCCTTACTGCACCCCGAGTGACACTGTAGTATGGCCCAATGTGCCTGTAGTGTCACCAGGAGCCTGTGTGAAACGCTGCAGACTCGGGAAACGGAACCTTTCCAGCCGACTTTGACAAGCAGTCTCAGGAGGCTGGGATGGGGGTGGTGCCAGGTAACAGGGCCCCTGCCGTTTGTGGTCCCAAGATGTCACTTCAGGGTGGAGGACATGCTGCAGACTGGCCCTTACTTACCATGTAATAGGCCATGAAGGGAAGCAAGACCTTCAGCTTGTCGGGGTGGACACTGATGTTTGCCTTCACGGCATTGCGTGACCAGATGGGGCGGATCTCGAACAGCTGAGGAGGTGGAGGCCGGGGAGTGATGAGCATCAGCAGCCCCTGCCCTCCCGGCCAGGCTCCGCTCAGGTCCAGCCCCAGGTCTTTCTGAGGGGGGACTCAAAGGTACAGAGAGCAGGACTTAACAAGTATAGGACACAGGCTGCAGCCGCAGGAGCCCGAAGGGTCTGAGCTGAGACTCCAAAAAGGCAAAGGGGCCCCAGAAGCTTTGTAGGGCCATTGTGCCCAAAGGACATTGAGGCCGCTAGGAACGTGACAGGACAGCTGCTTGGGTCCTTTAGGAACTGCCTGCCCAGCCCCGGAACGCGTCGCCCTGAGCCTAGACAAGGTGAGCGGAGCCAGCAGCTCAGCAGGGCATGCCTTGCCGAAGACCTGCCGCTCCTGCCGAGGGGCACAACATGCAGAGGCCCCTGGTATCCCTTCATCCTCGTCATCCCTGTGGCCGGGGAAGGTGCGGTGCCAGGTGACAGCCCCAGCTCTATGTGCTAAAGGTCCTGGGGCCTGGCACACGGTCAGCTCCCCTGCGGCTGCCAGATGCCAGCCCAATGGTTCTGCTAACTTCCCACAGTGCACTGTGTTCCTCCACATCCAGAGCGGCTGCTTAAGAATCTAGGAAGCATCTGCAGCCTTGGGATTCGGGGTTTAGTGTCCCGGCTACTCCACGTCACAGCAGTAGCAGAGGGACACCCACGTGCTGATGACCAGTGGCAGGGCGGGAGCAGCTGGGAAACATGCAGTACTGACTTGCGGTGGCCCGGCAGAGCCAGCTAGGGCGGACCCACCTTCCTGAGCTCCTCCTCCACCTCCTGGTCTATGGGGTTGGTGCAGGCCTTCCTCCACGTCTGGACTGCAGCCTCCAATGGCTGCATGGGCACATCGGGGTCCTCAAAGTTGACAAAGATGGCATTGTGGGGGCGTCGGGCCCTGCTCAGGCCAATCAGGTTCTCACCCGAGATGGGGGGGTTGTTGTAGCCTTCCCTGGGGACCGAGAAGACTGCTGAGGAGCCTGTGTGCCGCACCAGCGGTCCACATCTGGGGGCCCCTTTCTTGGACACGGGTGAGGAGGTCTCGGGGTGACTGCCAGCAGCAATTCACAGGAGCCCTGGGATGAGACCCAGAGGTCCCAGAGGCTGGTGTCCAGGCAGGGCACTTGTCATGAGCTGGTAGCCTTGCAATTGCATGGAGTCCAGCACAGAGTCCAGTGAAAAGCTGACCAGAGCCCCAGTGTTCATTAGTCAGGGATGTCGAAGCCAGGAGAGGCTCAGCCACTCAAGACCCCATCCACCTTGAGGGAGGCAGGGACGCTGGCTTTCATGGGAGTCGTTTACTGACCTGCAAGGAAGCATCTTCTAAGGAAGTAATGGGCCACCGACATCAGAAGCCTGGCCCCACAGGTGGGACACAGGAGCTGGGGACCCAGCCCCAAGGAGCCCTGATGCAGCCGTCCCTTGAGCATCTAGTGGAGAACGCCCTGTCTCACAGGCATCTCTACAAGCTGCTGCCAAACAGCAGCTTCTCCATCTGTGCATACCCACAGTATGTCCCATTCGAGAGTGAGCCCTGTCCACTCAGACTCAGGTTAATACGGATGTCAATGCATTTCATACTGGGACATTAATAATGGGCAGGCTTCTCATATCCGGGAAATCTCAGTGCCCTCCTTTCAGTTTGCTGTGGACATAAACTGCTCTAAAAAGTCTTAAAACCACTGAGTGCAGTGGCATGAGCTTGTAATCCCAGCACTTAGGAGGCTGAGGCAGGAGGATTGCTGTCAGTTCAAGGTCAGCCTGGGCCACAAAGTGAGTTAGGGTCAAGTTGAACTGCATGGTGAGATTGTGTCTCAAAAAGACAAAAAAGAAGAAAAAGTCTGGAAACACACAAGCAGCAGGGCACATGCTGCAGAACACACCACACCTTGAGGGACGCTGGCCACACAGCTGCAGCGGTCATCTCTGGACATCAGGTCAGAAGCCCGGAGACTGGGATAGGAACCCTGCAGCCAGACCGTCCGTCACACAGCCACGTCTCGGCCCTCCACCCACTGGAGCACTGAGAAGTGCATTCCCGAGCATGGACATCATGCGACTTTTTCTTTCCTCAGTACTGGGAATTGGACCCAGGCCGTCCTATAATGCCAGCCCTTTTAGATTTTTTGAGACAGGGACTCACTCAGTTATCCAGGCAACACTCGACCTTCCAACCCTTCTGCTTTAGCCTCCCAAAGCGCTGAGATTATAGGGATGCGTCACTGTGCCCATCATACAGTTTCATTCAGCTGACTATTGTTTTTTAAATTTGTTTCCTTTTTAGCTTTTTAAAAATGTATTTATTTACTTACTGTGGTTTTTTTAGACTGGGTCTCACTGTGCAGTCCAGGTTGTACTAGAACCTGTGGCAATCCTCCTACCTCAGCCTCCCAAGTGCCAAGATTACAAATGTGTACCACCACACCTGGCTTACCCTTTTTTTCTTTCTTTTTCTTTTTCTTTTTTTTTTTTTTTTTTTTGTCTTTGTGAGACAGGGTCTCACTATGCAGTTCAGGCTGGCCTTGGGCTCACTTTGTAACTCAGGGGACCTGTCCATTTGCTCGGATTCTACTGTCGTGTGGCCCATGAACCAGCACTTTTCATAGCATGAGCATCCGAACATGAACCATGTCGGCATGAAGCGCCACCTTCCCAGGTCCTTACCGGTGCTGGGTCTCTGGACGGTAGAAGTAGTCCACCGGGGTATCCAGGCGGGAGAAGATGGGCGGGGGGATGTAGAGCGGCAGCTCCTGGTGGAAGAAACTCTCCTTCTCAGGCTTGGACATGAACACTTTGTCATACATGGACGTGTGCCTGCCTCCTGCTTCTGTGTGGATGGCCAAGTACTGGAAGTCAGACATTCCTGGAGAGAGAGTGGACAAGTGGCAGACACCCAAGAGAGACACGGGCCCAAGAACTGGCTGCTGCCACACTGATACCCACGTCCTATAGGGAGGTGCTGAGAGAGCCAGGAGGTAATGGTGGAAACGGCAGCTTCCGCCCGAGACCACAAAAGGCCCAGAAACACCCCGACTCCAGAAATGTTGTTACCCTGGAATTTAAAAATGGTGGAGACAATGCCCAGGATCTCCAAGTCGTAGGTGACCTTCGGGTGGGCCTCAGCCTCCGGTAGCCCTCTCTGCCACTGAGTCTTCTTCCTGATCCGCAGCAGCAGGCTGCTGGTGCTGAAGCGGTTGGCACACACAGGGTGGCAGTACAAATCCTTGGGCCGGAAGTATAGCTCTAGCCTCTTGGTGGGGTCCGTGTAGATCTGTGGCAGGGCAGAGGGGGACAGAGGGAGGCAGTGAGCGATGCAGCCAGTGAGTGACTGCTCTTCTCTTGCCAAAGCCTGATGCTGACCTAGGAAGGGCTGGGAGCCTCTGGTCCCTTCTGAGCTCTTAATTTCCCCGAAGACTCCGTGTGGGGTGGGGGTTGGGGGCACTGGGGATTGAGCCCAGAGCATTTGCAATGTGCTACACCCAATCTTCTTTTACTTTTTGAGATAGGGTCTCATAAATTGCTCAGGCTTGAACCTGGGATCCTCCTGCTTCAGGATTAATCCCAGAGATTACAGGTGTGTGCCACCATTCCTGACTCAGAAGACTCATTTTAAAAATCCAAGTCCTGGCCAATTGTAATCCCAGCACTCGGGAGGCTGAGGCAGGAGGACTGTTGAGTTTAAGGCCAATCTGTCCCCAAAAAACAAAACCAAAAAGCCGCCCCTGTAAATGTCATCACAACTTGACTCTCCTACCACAGGTGCTAGGACCATCCTCGGCTTACCTTAGAGGTAGCTGAAGTTTGCAGAATAGGAGAGCTGCCCAGGGGGCTATGAGTTCCACAAACCACCCATCCTGCTGCAGGGCTGAATGTGGTATTCAGCCTCCTGTACAGATGCTTCTAGGTTTGTAGCGATGGAATCAACCAGCAGTAACCTCTTTGGCCTGCTACTTATAACTTCTGAAGCCCTAGTTCTTTCTCCTTAAAAACTTTTCCCCACCTCATGGCACTGTTACAATTTAATGAAAACAAGGATAAAGCACTTAGCCTGGTGCCTAACCCACAGGTAACGCTCAACACAGGTTGCTCCACACAGGGTGAGAGGGATGCTGGGACTGTCGGGTGTGGGGGGCTGAAAGCAGCAGCAGTGAACATGGGGAGGTCACTGCATGCTGGTCTGCTGACTCCCCATACCCTGGACAGCCTGACCCTTGGGAAGCACTTAGGAGCAATTTGGGGCAGGAATGCAGGTTCCCAGGGAGCCCTGATCCTCAGGATTCCCCTTTTCCTGAAGCACCTGTGGGCCTTGATGGAGTGGAATAAGGATGCGCTTGCAGGCACAGATGAGGTGATCAAGAAACAAGAGCAGAATGGAGGAGTCATAAAAGTCCCTCCCCAGAGTTGGCATGCTATCCTTGGGTACAATCACCCCTGGGGTTAGTGACAGGAAGGGTTCTGTCAAGACTAGACAAATAAATAAGCACAAAGGGACCAGATGACCAGGGCTTTACTAGCCTCTGCTGCTGCTTAACAATTGGATCCTGAAATGCAGACACTGACAGTTCCTATCCTGGGAGATTCTAAGCATCTAAATTGGAAAGTGTCTAGCACAAAATAAGATGTCTTCTACCACCATCATTCAAACTAATAAGAACCGAGTCCACAGGGATTTTTTGGTGTTTGTTTGTCCTCTTTTGGGTCCTGGGGATTGAACTCAGGGACTTCCCACTTAGAACATCTCAGCCCTTATTCATTCATTTATAACTTTGAGACAAGATCATGCTAAATTGCTAAACTGACCAGGCTGGGCTCCAACTTGCAGGTGGCTAGAGTCCTGGGATTCCAGGCCTGTGCCGACACGCCTACCTGATTCGTTTTTAATCTCCCTGTGATCTAGAGATAAGGATGAGGTAACTCAGCACACTGTAGTAGATGCGCTTCAACTTAGGACAGACAGGATGCCCTAGAATCCACTGAGTTTCTGCACAAACCCTTCTGCTGGGGATGGAGCCCCGCCCACTAGCCTCTCGGACACGCCGTTCTCGGTTGCCAAGGGAATCACCCCGCCGTCTGGCCCCGCCCTTCGGCTGCAGTCCAGCGCGGTCCCTCCCGCGTTGTCCAGGAGATTCTCGGCTACTTACTCGGGAGATGCCTTCCTCGCCACCCAGGGTCTGCAGCATCTTGCCCACGTCGCGCACCCCGCCCGGGTACTCCACGCACACCAGCCTTCGCTCTCGCGGCAGGTCCAGAGGGTTGGCGGCCATCGGGTCCCCGCCGGCCGTCTCCGTCGCCATCCCTGCTCTCCTGGCCGGGCCTGCCAAGGTGCGTCCCCTAAGGCTCCCCCAGAAGCCCAGCCTCGATGGTTCCACAAAGGAATAGTTCCGGTTTCCCTCTACGCTCTCGTCCCCCTAAATCCTCAGGCTTTGCGAGACCCGAAGTTTTCCGGGGAGCAAAGGCCAGGACAGAAGCCCCATGGAGTTCGGGATAAAAGACGGAAAAGTCCTCGACTTTTTATTTAAAATGAGTAGGTTAGGCTGAGGGGGCGGGGCAAGAGCGGTCTCACCTACCAGCCAGCCAGGGGGAAGGTTATAAAGACACCAGCGATTTTAGCCAATAAGGAGTCCTGAGAAAACCAGGTCCCACTCCGCGGGTGCTGTCCAGTAGAAAATCACGATTTGGCCGGATTCCGAGCCTCTTGCTGATATTTTGCCCAATGAGGGATTGGGGGCGGGCCCGACACGCACTTCCGGCGCGCCTCCTGGCATCTGGAGTTGATTTCCGGTGTCCGGGTTGCTGGACTTCCAGATTGTCGAGCTAGCTCACTAAAGCGTTTCTGAGGCGTCTGAACCCTTAGGGAGTTCTGTGTGGCGATGGGAGAGAAGCAATGGGTGTGCTAAATGCTTTTTTTACCATCACGCGCAGAATGCCTTCGGGGGCAGGATGCAGGCGGCCCAGGTGGTTAATTAGGACAGTGTTTAGCCCGCGGGGTGTGCTCCGAATGTATATTTGTCTTTATATTGCAAGTGAAAGACGGAGCCAGGAGCCGTAATTCTGAAAGAAGGGCTCCTGATTAGAAGTTTCCTCGAAATAAGTTCCACATATTTCAACAGAGCTACACAAGGTAGACCCTGACCTACCCTCGCCAGCAGGAATTATTTGGGACATACAGTAAATATCCGCCGAAGACTTTAATTGAGCCGTTTGTTTTGTTTGCTAAACACAACACCCCCTTCTGCCCATTGAAGGAATTAGTACGGCAAAGCCGATTCCAAACTGCCTGGAACTTTAGTGGACCCACCCTCCAGTTTAATGGCCCGCTGGCTTCACTTGCACTACTTGGTTCTGTTTAAGAAAGCGAGTGATCTTTCTAGAGTGAAATCTAGAAGTTATTTTAATGTAGAGAAAATTTTAAAACTTCTAGTTCTAATACTATTCATATTTCTAACACTGTTCAAGGACAAGACCGGGAGACAGCCTGTTCACCTGCTTAGAAAGCTACAAACTTAAAAGAGTTGACACTCTGGATGCCAATTGCAAGATAATTGTAACTCAGCCAGGGAGGAATGTTTCTTTTACTGCTTAGTCCCAGAGAGTTACTACTTCAGGGACACCTCTGCCCAGTCTCAGACAATGATAGATTCTTCCTCTAAGTTGTACGATAGTAACCTCATAAGGTTGCTGTTTCTCTAAGAGTGAATTCTGTCTAGCAACTAAGGATAAAGATGTGTAACCAACTGTGGGATATTATGTTATCTGCCTTCTGTACCTACCTGCAGTGTGCAAACATATCAAAACCCAAAGCTGACTTAGGGCTAATGATTTGGAATTGAGATTCCCGTCAGCCGGCCAGCATAATAAAGCTGTGGGCCTTCCCAAGTTCCTCTGACAGCCATGTCTGATCAGGTCCTGTATCCTGTAACAAAATCATCTCATCTGCCCCTGTTGCAGGAGCTCTCTTGAGATAGGGTAGAAGAAATGAAGTGAGCTAGAAACACAAAGGAATCAAATTGTTAAAAGTTGTGTTTTAAAGAAAAACTGCAGCTTCAGAACACAAGCCGGGGTTTACTTTTTTTCTTCTCCGAAAACAGCAAACCTGAGTGACCTCCTTCAGCTGCCAGTGAGTCTGCCCATTCCCTTTTGCTCACAAATGGTCTCCTCTGGCCCATGAACGGACACTCTTTGACATTTTCTAGAGGAAACTAAGGGTGGACCATCCTCTCCCACACTCTAAGACTAAGACTGAGGCTATAAATTGTTGGGGTCTTTGCCTAAGTCCCCAATCCCCCAAACGGGTGCACAGCAAAGGCCCAAAAAAATGAGACAAGTGGCCTGGTCTTTAGGACTCCAGGAAGACTAAAATCCTCTGCAGAGTTGGTTACTCTGCTAGCCAGCCGACCGACTGACCCTGGGTGGCCCATATTTAATCAGAAAAGCAGGAGTTGAGCGGAAAACTTGGGAAAACTGAGCAGGACCTTGGAAGGGGTTCAAGGAAAACAGATGATACTACTTAAGGAAAACTACCCCTAAAGTGTCCAGGTGGCCTCAGCTGTGGCCTGTCTTGCCCCCTGAGGCATCTCCCATCAGAGCATCACTTCCTGAGTACAGGACCCATCTGTCTGGCTCATTGCTGTCCTCCCAGGCCTTGACACCCAGCTGGCCGCACAGCAAGTGCTGGAGAAAGATTTCTCAATGGGACCACTTGACTCATTCAAGCCTTCAGTTCAGTCTGGCACCTACGGCCACCGGGCACTAAATAAAGGCTGATCTAATAGAGATGTGTCCTTGAATGCCTGGGAACCAAGGACAGGCTGTGGGTGAGGAGATGACAAGGGCCAATCTCAGAGCTTTGGTCCTGCCTGGGACCCACAGCAGGGAAGGCAGGCCAGGAGCAGAGAGACCAGGAGGAACCCAGAGAAAGGCATGGCACCCACACAGGCACCCATTTAACAAGTGCTCCCCTGCACGGTGGGGTCTTGAGCCAGACTCTGATGGGCCATCCAGAGCTCACGTTTGTGGGGCAGAGACGGCTAACGAGAAATCGGGCTGGGGTGAGGCTCAGTGCTGGAGCTCTGGCAGCACTTGTAAGTCTCTGGGTTGGGGTCCCAGTGCCCCCTTCCAAAACTACACCCCTTGTAATACCAAGTATGGGCACGGAGCACTGGGGAAGAACATCGGTCCATCTTACGGTTTCCTGTAATCAGCCCCGCCATGCATGTCACCCCACGCACACACCTGGCCCCTTTTCCCAGACCCAGGAAGTCACAAAGTGAGTTCTCAACCTCCATCTCCTGGCCCAGGCCCAAGCCCTAAAGAGATGCCAGACCCACCCCTGGGCTGTCCCAGTGTCCAGCTAGCCCCTGATGGACCGATTTGGGGTCGGGTACACAGCCATTCTGTCCTCCAGGATGACCGAGAGCGGTGGAAGGGGCTGCTGGTTGCTTGACCACACCAAGTCCTGCGGGGCAGGAGCAGAGGGAAAGGCCCTAGGTTCGGTTCCCAGCACTGCAAATAAAAAGTTCCTTTTGAGGCTGGGGATTTAGCTTACTGGCATAAGCGCCTGCCTTGCAAGTGCGCAGTCGTGAGTTCGATCCCTGGTACCAAAAAAAAAGTTCCTTTGGACTCCAGAATCTGAGTACTCCTTCCTGGGCCTCCGTCTGGGCTATGTGGCACCCTGGACAGGAAGAAAAGAGTCATGTTTGCCTTTGACCACGAGAAGGAGCAGAGCGCTCTTGTAGGCAACATTGCCACCTGGTGGTCATCATTGCCCATGACACGTGATGGTCAGAATTGTCCGTTGCCGTCCAAGAAAAACACAAAGCGTCACCAAGGGCAGCGAATCCAGGTCCTCGAGGGAGGTCCTCGAGGGAACGCGATGGCCCCACTGCTAGTGACAGATGAGGGAGACAGGGCCTGGGCACCGCTTTTGGCTCCTGCCCAGAAGTTTCCCAGTGAGACAGGCAGTCCCGAAGGGCACACTCCTTCCTAAGCAGCCCGTCATTCCTAAGCAAAACTGAACCAGTAAACCCCAGTCTACACTACAGAGTTTGTTCAGACACAGTTTAACCTCAACATTTTTAAAGATGTGGAAGAGGCAGATTTACAAGGAAGTTATTAAGGGGGAAGCATCCAGAGCGCTCTGGGGCTTTGGCCTCTTTGTGACTGCCCAGGGAGGTCCCTGTGGTCAGTCTGCACATGTGGCCATGCCTTCATAAAAGGTGTTTTAACACCTGTTGCGTCCGCTCTGGCTTGCCCTCCGTCACACGGCGCTGGCCCTGGCGCCGCAAGACATGAGGTGGTGGCAGCTCTGGGAAGGGGGCCTGGGGAGCAGCCCTGGGTAGAGTGATTGGAGTGGATGGGTGTTGTGGGTCACCTTTTGTGGAGTGGCCTTCAGGGTGCACACCCCTTCCACTGTTTGTGACAGGTCACTCAAGCCAGGACAGGAAAGCCCAGGGCCAAAGAAGAGAGGAACAGAGCCGCAGGACTGCGGGGAATTCCCTTCCACCTGCAGAACTCAGGGGGGCGCCGCCTATGTGGAGACCCAGAGGGCGGCCTCTCGGGAAATGTAAACAAAGATTACACAGGAGAAGCCAAGCACATCAAGAAGCCAGCTGGCCCTCAGGGCTGAGAATCAAGAACTACCATCCACCCCACCCCCGCCCCCACCGTAAGCCAACAGCAGGTTGGGAGGACAGGCTGCGCTGACCACAACTGGGGTGCAAAACAACTGAATGCCCGTATGGTTTGGCTGACTGCAGGCCTGCGGCGGGTGATCTGGGCATCTCTGCGGGAGATGACAGAACGCAGTACAGGGACTGTGGCCAATCCCTTCTGTCTTGTTTATGAGGTCCATCATTGTTCTCACTGTTTTGTACCAATTTATCATTTTGTTTTATTCAACGCTCTGTTTTGATTGGTTTTATTCTGGGGTTTTTTTCATTTGATTTTGCTATGTATGATGGAATGGACAACTGTTGTGAAAATAACAAGATGTATTATGGAGTTGTTGATTTCCTGTTATCCTGCTTCGAAGTCCTGTGCCACTTACACGGCTTTGTTTTGATTGGCTTTGCTCTGTTTTGTTTTGTTGGGTTTTATTCTTTTTTAAAATAATAATAATAAAAGAATCGCACGGGATATAGCAGTCGTTCTTGGGGTTGTGTACTCAAAAGAACTCAACTTGGGGGACTGAGGCGGGGTTCCGGGGGGCCTCTGCACACCCTCGCTCACGGCAGAGCGATTCCCGATACCGGAAGGTGAAGGCACCCCGAGGGGGCGTCCCCCGCAGATGAATGAATCAGTGGAGTGAGGGTGGCCTGTCTGCGGGCGCAGTGCAGCCCTCAAAGGGAGGAAATGCAGACAGAGACCACATGCGTGAGCCTTGGGGCCCTGGGCTCGGTGACACAGTTGTGACAGCTGAGGTGGGGAGCAGTTCAGTAGTGTCAAGTCCTCTCCCCTCAAACCCCCCACCTCCAGTCTTCAAGGAGGGACTGGGCCAATTACCTCAGGTTCCTCCCAGTGACTCCTGCTCTCCGGGCTCCCCAGTGGGGAATGTGGCTTG